TTGCAGATGTGAACAAAGTGGACACAAAACAGGCGATATTTATAAGCATATCGATCTGGTCTTCACCACTGAATATACTTAAATACGAAATAATGGACTTGAAGTTCTAGCGGTGTGTGTTGATCCATGAGAAGATGGTCTCATCAGATAAGCAAAGACCAGATCATTGAAAGATATAATCACTAGTGATACACGTGGAATTTGCTTATTAGAAAGAGCAGCCGATTGAGTAGTAGAGTGTAGAAAGACTTTGCGGAATGACTGTGATTAAAGCAAATTGTACCATTGATATCTCTTATTTTTTACCACTAAATATCTAGTCGGTGAGAGTAAGGAAAGTTATGCTGTCCTTGGGCAGAGATGTTGAGTTTCTTTTACATTGTTCTTACTCGCTTCTCTTTCACTCTTTTGAGTATTGCTTTATACTACTTATTCACATTCAGTAAGTAGTTGTAATCCCAGTCAAGTTTATACTTTCGTTGTATCGCAAGTTGTCGTGTAATATTCTGAAATATTTACATATAATTATAACGTTTATCGTCACAATTGATTGATCACTGGGTGGTGATCAATCTCATGCTTGTCTAGTCCTTATTAGTGCAGATCGAATGCTATCGATCATGTTGCAATGTGGCCACCAGTCTAGGTGACTCGACACTGCGGGCACTATGTATTGAGATTAGATGGTGTCGAGTCACCTAGACTGGTGGCCACATTGCAACATGATCGGTAGCATTCGATCTGCACTAATAAGGACTAGACAAGCATGAGATTGATCACCACCCAGTGATCAATCAATTGTGATTACATCTCAGTCCTACAGGAGGTTAGTCACGGCTCGGATAGCTCAGTGGTAACGTCTCTGACTGTGAAGCTGGGTGACACGAGATCGAATCCGCCAGGGAGCACCAGTTCCCTCAAGATTACAGGTACACCTTGCTGACGAGTGCCAAGTAGCACGAAACCCGGGTCCAGGGTTTCCTGTTGACTACCTCCAACCACCATCTAACGTTTATCATATTTACCATTGACTTTACCTTAATTACTGTAGCAGTTATCCACAGTTTTGTGCCTTTGTTCTAACGCAACAGTTTCCAAATTGTTTCGCTATCGTTTAGGCTTTCAGATGTTGATAAACTTACCAAAATTAGACAAATCTATCAGCTGTCTTTTGTACTAACGAAGCCTCTTTATTGTATGCGAAAGGACGCGAAAACGCCGCGGATACCTCAAAAGTTGTGGTTTGTAACTAATGTTCGTGTATTATTCAATAAAGAACCGCTATTGTAGACAAATCTTTCTTTTGCGAACTTCGGTTTTGCGCGTATCACAAATGGGTGACCTGCACGCTTCGATAGACCTGACACTGTCAATTCCCTATAAGTTTGTAATGGTGAAACATTTGATTACTTTCACGGATTTAATACCGATCATTTGTATTTGCCTAAAAGTATCTTGATTAATGCTGCAGCGCCATCGACATACGGGTTTTAGAAAATTGGAATAACTGATCAGGAAGCGGATGCGATTTGGTATGAGATTATAAACTTCAACATCATGTATTAGAAAATTGATTAGATGGTTTGGTTTAATTTGTATCTATGAATTATTTATTATATTTATTTTTTAAATGGGTTAAGTGTTCCTGTTTTTGAAGTGATTTGCTTGGGTTGAAATTCAACGAATGTTTTTACACAGCTTCAATCACATCTTATATGCCTTAAGAGAACAATATTTTGTTGATTAACAAAGACCATTTTGTTCATACTCAACGTATTTTATTTGACATTCTGTATATTGAATATTTTGAATCAAAACACACAACAAAACTATTATAACGTCAGTGTTGTATGAATGAATACAAATATATAGTAAACGTCACAAAGAGTTACTACAAGCAATCATTCAAAGTGCTGGTGTGAATATGGAGTAACATATAAATGTCCTAAGGCTTGATAGAATAAAAAGATACTAATGCTAACAATGACGGAAGTCGAAAGAATTATCTTGTATCGTTTATGCTTGAACACTCGGTTGATCTTCATCAACGGTACTGATCTATAATGAATGGGTAACAATTGGGACATTTTCTTTCAACCACTGAATAATGGCAGAATATACTCCAGTCCATTTTGGTTTTTCACTGGATATCTCAAATAAATATTTGACCTTCTCTTGAAGTTCTGGGTCTATTTGATTATTAGCTTCTGTTAGGAGGATCTGTAAAGACAAAAATGTCGTTTCATGTACAATTCATATGGAGCCAATTCATAAAATTGACAGTTTAAATTTGAGATGAAAAATAGTGGATGTCAATCAGTTATACAGCAAAATAATGAGTGTTTGGTTTATTATAAAAGAAAATTGTCAAGATCCGCAAATTGCAGAAATGCGTAGTTGATGAATTCAACTGTTTTCATTTTATTCAGTTTCACTTCATTGAAACTGTTTACGATCAATGGTGTTTGTGCTACCGAACATTATCAGATTTGTCTAAATGATCACATTCGGAAAATTAAATCGCAGCATATGGGACGAAACAAAGTAACACTTGTCAAGCGACGGAATGTAAACAGGCTCTTCACTTACCTTTTCATAATTCCTTCCACTAAACAATGAGTAAGGATATTTTGTTAGTGCGTTTAGTATGGATTCCGTGAAGTCTCTGTGAAACAAAATTAGAGAGCGAAATACAAAATTAGTATGGTTATTTTCCATCAAGAATATCCATAGACGAATGACTGAGTACTTGGCAGTGCTAACAAGACAATCATCATATTCAACTAATGAAAAAGAAAATGCTCCGCACACTCAGGGAGTTGCTCTGATGCTGTCAAAGAAGCACACCAATAGGGAGTCAATTTCATAGACCAAGCAAATCAAAGCATTATTCGAAACAAAGAAGGTGAGAAGTACAATGAATTTTATCCTGTGTTGTGCACACACCGATTGAAGCAACGACGATAATAAAGATCAGTCCTACAGGAGGCTGCAATCGATCATAGCTAAGCGCTTGGGTAAGGACCTGATCACGCTGACAAGTGATCTAAACGCGAAAGTCGGAGTGGATAACAAAGGATACGAAGATATAGTGAGACGACATGGATTAAGACGAATGAACACAGATAGTACATTCAACAAGTCGGTTATCGCGGCACAATATCCTCACACAAATGCATACACCAAGTTAAATTTGCCTGAAAGGAAACGAGAAACAGGCTTATGACTCGACGATGGTGGCAAGAAAATATACTAAGCCAGAAAGACCAGTCAGGAACAAAGAAGGCAAGAAATTTACCGAGGTTGAAGAACAGAGAATTAGATGAGCAGAACACTTTGAGTAACTATTAATTAGGCGAGATCCAAATGTCACTCCACCAACCATCGAAGAAATCAGGGTAATCATCAGATAAAACGAACATCAAATTCAGAATCTTCAATACGAACGTCAAGACAGTTGCATTCTACTGAGCTGAAAAATGGAGAACTAAAACATCCAAAACCTAAATAGCACAACTCTGAGTTATTTAAGGTAATTTACTAGTCCTTGTACTAACTGTTTATTGATATGTTGATCAACTTAAAATCAGATTTGCTGAAAAATCTGTGTGAGATAAATTACTATGTTCATCAAAAGGTTGATATATTCGATAGAATTCTTCATATACGAAAGCATGAATGAAATAGGTCTACAAAATCTCCTCTATTGCAAACTGACATTTCAAGTTATTGGTATTCAATCTATCTCCTACATATAATGCATACTATGCGACTTCACAAACAAAGCACAAACGTTTGAAGTCAACAAGCACCATCCACCTCATGACATTATTATGACATCGGTTCCTCACTGTCAATAAAAATTTAAACTCACTTATGTTTATCAAAATTATTTACATCACTCAGGTGGTCCCATAAAAGTTGATTGCCAACTGGAGATTTCGCGAAATAGTCAAGCGTAAACCACAAGTTCTCGTTCTCTCTTACCCGCTCTAAGTACCTGATGAAAAGATGGAGGAAATATTTAGCTAAGTAGGTGTGGTGTGCTAATTTATTCATATGAACATTTACATTTGTAGAATAAAACGATTTAAGGGTCAGGAATAAAGTGTGGTCGATGAGATTTGTGGCTAAAATGACTGGTATTGGAGACGATTCCTTCTCTTTTCATTGTGAATTCTATCCCTACGAAGATTTTGTTGATTTCATTTTACGTATTTTAAGCACGATCATTTCGATGATGACGAATGTGTCGCACACATAACGAATCGACATTCTCAGTGTGATTACAGGTAAATATGAAGCTTTCAGTTATTACATCACCACTTTGTAATAAGTCTTTATATCGGTAGTCCCATTGATGTCGGTTTTGTTTGTCAGTGAACGCTGTTGTTGAATTAAGAAAAATTTGTTCAGTATTAACCGATGGGTTCTAGTTGACTTTAAACATTCGTGTACTCAGAGTTTTTGTGAGTGCTATATCTTGATGATAATCATGAGGTAACTGTTGATCCACATGTGAAATTCTACTGATCTCAGTATATCCACATGGAGTTAAATTTAAGTCAATTATGATATGAAAGCAAATTAACTGAAGTTGATAATGTAAACCAATAGGGTTTGAATCAGTTGTTCAAATTTGTCGTGCTCACTCGATGGTACATGATAGATTCCGCCCAAAAATGTGAGTGATATGGTTTAAAGTACTTTCAACCATAAATTAAGAACATGTCCCATGTTCTATTACGTTTGAGGGTGCGTTGGGTAAACATTTATATAAAAACACATATCTTTCCAATTATTCAATTATAGTCATTGTCACACATAATTTCAGAAAATATCATGCACGTTTTGTGAAATCTTCGATCATAACAAACGGATTTATTTTCTGTGACCATATTCATTAGCTGATAGGAATGGGGATTCCGAACATCTAGTCGGGTTACCGTTTTCAATAACAGGTGTGACAGTGTAATATTGAAGGTAACAGAATAACTTACCTTTTCATAATTTCTTTATCGCGAGAACACGTTAATGCCAGCATCTTGTTTTCATTCTCATTCTCATTCACAGTTTCATTCAATATCAGCTGACTTTCTAAAAATTTCCATTCTTCATGACCACCATGACGAATAGCTGTACAATAAGTAATGTCTCTCAAATCAGGTAGTATGCTGTAAAATAAAGCAAACGCGAACAAAAACCTTACTTTCGTTTTCAGAGTTAATTGAATTTCTTGGTATAAGATCGTCAAATCGATTTCAATATGCACGATTATTGTGCTGCGTTCATTCATATATTACACTTTCAGATACATTTATAAGCATAGTAAGTTAGTAATATATGCTTATCAATATAGTTCGGATATAATAACAACTTAAATCTCCTACCAATTCCGGATGTGAATTTTCTTCATACAATCAATTTGTATTATTCCGAACGATCAAATTCGCATGTTTTAATTTGTTTCACGGTGAACTGTGAAATAAAAACATGGTTTGGACGTTTTGCACCTTAATATGAATAGCAGAACCTGAGCTCAAATATTCTACTTATCATTCCGTACTCTTTGAACCTTTGTCAACCTAGCTCTGGCCAATTATTTGCTCTGAATAATCGATCTCGTTAAGGCCATGAAACATCAAAAATCATAACTCATATTCGGTGGAATATCTCAACTTCAAGGTAAACCGGCTACGTTTCTTAACGATCGGTCGTGCACAGACGAAATCGCGATACATTAGATCAATGTAGACTATTTATTCATTTATTTTATTTTAACACATTGATATCGGTACAAGAAAGCATCAAATACATATGCGCCACACAAATCTCACTTGATATGTGTGAGGGCTGTGACACTGCTAGTGAGCCCAAAGCAAAGCAACTAGTTAAAATGAATCCGTCATTAAGAAACAATTACCATGGTTATGAAAAAGCGTTTGACTTTGAATATAGAGGAAACAATACAAACCCTCTTCAAATCGTACTGTAACTGGAAGGATTGTCAGCATCAAACGGAATCCAGACCACGGATCACAATTCAATTTCACGCATGGCAGACAGCAAATGGATGACCAGCAATTGAAGGCTGAGTACTTATTCTCTTGCTCTTTCTCCCTGCATTCAAATGAAATGTAGCAACAGCCATATCTCAGGAGAAGCACGGAATACATTGGACAGCCTCAATTCACTTGGATATTTTAGAGTTAGTAGATGACACATTTTAAAATATCGCACGTAAGTTGGAGTGTGTTGTTCAGAATGGTGTAGAAATGTCGAATCAGGAGTTGTTTCGAAGATTTTTCGTAGATAAAAATCTTTTATTCATACACGAGAGTTATTGTCAACTGATTTACAAATCCAGGTAGCACAAATCCGCCTACTATATACATCAAATTCACAGCCGTTTCACTACGCCTACTGACTTATTTGTTCTTTACACACAGGAAACCATAACATTGACAAACTATTCATGCTTTTGTGCATGACCATAGAAACAAAAACTGATCAAACAATCTATTTTAGGGCCCGTTTTAAGAGTTAGTTCAAATAACATTCAACACAAATATAAAGGCCTAGTATACGGTGGTCTGTTTTATCGTATAAAAATCATTAATTGCATGACTAACGGGTTCGTTTCGGGCTTCGACATCCATCGCCTGAAGAGATCCGAAGTTTTGTTCACACAAAGATGATGTTCAGCTACACAAGCCAGTTTGATCACATTATAGTCAAAACGTCTAAAATCGAGTAAATGGTGGAAGGATAGTTATGTTATACTTTAGTAAATATATACATACATATACGTTATTTGTTTATACTATTATTAGTGAGTTATGTAGACAGTTGTTAGAGATAAAATATCACGGAGATGCCTAAAGATGTTCATTGAGAACAACGGTTCATCCATTGGATTCGAGATTGCTGCGATTTTGTAGCTGAAACATAATGTCTTCACATCAAAAATGTTCCCACATGTTGCATTGTCTCGAAACCTGTCTTGTTATCTCTTTGGAAAAAATTGAATATCATTAAACTCACCAGTTGGTACAACATCGACGAGCTGGTGATTTCCGTAGTTTTTGACGAAATAAATTTTTTATCTTATTTTAACGGCGAACTGTTACCGTTTCCATAATAATAAACTTGAAATGAAAAAGTACAACTGAGAATATCCGATTAAAACCGTTTATACTACATGGATTTCAGATAACTATATTACAACAATACACAGTTTACAGTTAATTAACGAGTTCTAATTACAGGAGCACACAATTTGAAGTGCACACTAACCAGTCACTTAACCTTAAATTCGTTTATTCATTACCGTTCCAGTATAATAATATAGTTCGGACATTCCAAATCCCGGCTGATGAATCTCACCCCTCTCACGAACCGTACATTTCATCTGTTTTCGGCTACGTTTTGCTTCAATTAGCATTTCTGATAACAATACTGGCAAATTCATCATATTCTGTTGAATGTCTTACATACAGAATGTTTCGAACAAAACGTCTTCTGAGACTATATGAGTGATATGACAGAGTGGAAACATTCGAAATGGAAATATTACTACTCACATCTTTGGAAGATCTTGACCTTCACCAACAAATGACCAATTCGCTGATCGAATTCGGTTATCGATAAGAGTTCGCAAGTATGCTTGGAAATCTTCATAATTCTCATTCAGAGCAAGCACCTTGTTAATGTAAAGCAGCGCTCGACTAGCTGTTATCCATACGAGAAACTCATCCTCGTAGTTTAAATATCTTGTCGCGTTCAGGAAAAGAGTATACGGTACGATATGTTGACTGACAAGGCGGCCAAAGCAAAACAAAATAGATAAATGTGAGTTAATTGCAAAGTAAAAAATAGGCTCAAAAAGACTTGTTTGAGTAATTTGTTCACAGCCGAGTCTATAGAAGTTCAATTTTTCACACTCGAACTCTGTGTACACAAGAGTCATGCTCAATGCTTTATTCTTTCATGATCTTAGCATCCCTTCGAATTTAGCTTTTTGCAAGTGCTAATTATTGCTTTATTCTTCCCCTCCTGGAATAAGTGGACCGGTATACTTAGCACTTATTTTATGGATCATTAGCTCTCATAAATTCAGAATCCATTACATAAGGTGACAACCTTTTCTGTATCACACAAAATCAATTTACTTTTTTCGACTCCCACATGAATAAGTTTGACTATGTTTGACAAATATTTGAAATCCCGCTATTTTACCGTAGAATACTACATTTAAAAATCACCTATAAATACGACTGCACGGCTTCCGAAAATGATACCGTCGGAAGGAAAATTTCCTTCATAATTTTCGTATGACTAGTTTAGATTTGTGCTTGTAGAATATGAAGAGAATTTATTCAGAAGAGTATTCTTCGTTTATATGTCTGTGTAATTACTTCACCCGACATGTTATATTTTTAATCAGTATTAAATGAGTAACCAACCGACGGTGTTGACAGATGTTTTAAACAATATAACGTATGGTGTATTTTAACTCTTTGGGATTATACTAATCTATCGTTATATTATCGTAAGGTTTATATAAATGTCTGTGAAGCTGAGTGTGAGTACTTTGGCTACAACTGATATTTTATTTTTTATAAACATCTCGTAAACACCAATTTGAACTTTTCAGTATTCAAAACGTCTGTGTGCACAGAGAATTCACTCCAACTCATTGTAAACATTTCTAATCCAGCTTACTATACGTTACCCCAACTGTTTTGCTTCTTTTGCAAACTGTTGTGCTAGTTTGCGTTTCTGAAAGAATCGATTGCGGGTTATGGCTGGCAATCAGTTAGAATATCCAAGTTCTAAAACGTATTTTCTTTACAATCAGATGGTATGAAATGTCGAATACTAATTGTTTTACGTATTGACTAACTTCCATCAATTTTCCGTGTTTTCGATCGGTATTTGGAATCAAAGTGAATAACTAGCCTGATATTTTGTAACAGAATAAATATCAACCCAAAAAGAAATCGGTTTCTTTCCACTTCACACTTACTTTGCAAGACTGAATAAATCATTCAATATTTGTGCGCGTGAGAAGACTGGAATAGCCTAGACATGAAAAAATTACATAAAAATCGAAATGCCTTGTGAAACATCGAGTCACAATGTAAAATACAATCCCTAAAGTGAATGTGATTTCAAAAAGATCACATCTTAGTTTGTGTCACTAAATGACGAGCTGAAATTAGGAATTAACAGCCTAAAGCGAAATTCGATATATTTCGATGTACATATTCATGTCCCGATATGTTTTCATTCATACACTACTTCCATATATGTCTGACTGTTAACATGTATTAATACATCTTTATTCTTACATCATTTGACCTGCTGTAAATATTGCATGACATAATATTCCTTTTCACTTCGTATTTCTGCCACTCAACTTCTACACAGTACGTAATCTTACGGGTTAACAAAACGGGTGACATGTTGATTTAATTCTTTCACGTTCTCCACTTTATACATTGTTGCGTCTTTTTATATTTACATGATAGATCTCAGCAACAATCTCCAAGTTTAACAAGATCTGCTCCAAAAGAGCAGACTACTGAGGAACATATCTAGAAGAAGAATAAAGAAGCAGTAAATTCAACGGGTCAGTTGCTCAACCACAAAAATCATCAACACAAGTCATAGAACTCTATCTGGCTTTTGTTACAGCACTTTCAACAACGCTGTAATAGACCAGTTCAACAGAAACAACTGGACATCGAAGCTACAATGTCAGTCAGCTTACCAACTGATACACTGAATTCAGGCACAGAATACCTGCGAACGTGCTCTAGGTTCTATTACAATGATTTCAACACAGTGTTGTTGAATCGATCATGAGACTCAGTAAACTACCAAATTCGAGATCGATATTCTGGATTTCATAGGGATCGTTTGTGCGCAAACGAAATTGCAAAGATTGCAGATAGAAGTTGGACAATCAACTGAATGAAACTCGTCACTATACATTATATGTGATAACTAGAGATTGGTTGACATGGCTTCATAAAACCACTGGGTTGTGGCTAAGATAAAACTGAAGCCGAAGTAAAGATGGACAACTGTATAAACAGCATTGAAATATTCAATGCATTATTTCTAGTAGATGCAGACAACCTGAACGAATTAAAAATGAATCTCACTAATGTATTTGAAGGTTTGAAATTCTACTCAGGCACTAGGAAACTATCATAGGGAACAGCTGAAAATGAGGCAGTAACTTTGACACGCCTGGAGTTGCTGGGCCGCAGGATACCTAATACTGCTGTTTCTCTTCCTTCCAGCAGTCAACTGAAATGTGGATACGACCACGTCTGAGGAGAAGCAGAGAACACATTGGACAGCCTCGATTCACTTGGATATTATGATATCAGTAGATGACTCAACTCTTTCATACCATGCTTCCAACAATCCAGGTGAAGACAGTCAGTGTAGCAGCAGCCTCTACAGCAGTAGGCCTCAACACTCATAAAGAGAATAAGCAAGATCCTCAATAGAATCCTCAATACAAATATCGAGACGGTTCTAGTGCACTGAGCTGAAAATCGCAGAACTGTCATAGTCATCATCAAAAGCTACATGTGTTCATAAACAGTTGTCTGAACAAGACACTCAATATCGGTCGACCGGATATTATCAACAGAAACACACTGCAGTAGAAAACAAAACAACTTTCATCTGAATATGAAAGCACGACGAGATTTTGGAGGTGGGTACGACAAGCATTGTGTTAACCATCAGACGGAATCTCGAGACAATCACACCGAATCCAGAAGGCAAGAGGTACAGAGGAAGATAAAAGAACACGTTGCGTCGAGAATCGGAGGCATATATCGAAAGAATGGGAAGCGATTGACGACGAGGCTAGGATAGAATAGTTTGGAGAGTCCTAGTTGGCAGCCTAAGCTGTTCCGAGCATTGTCAGACGACAGAAATTCAGTGTGCAATTATATAAGTAAGTAGGTAAGTAAGTAAAGACGTAAGCATTTGGGTACATAATCAAGTACGTAAGTAAATATTTAAATAAATAATTACGTTAGAGCGTCCTTATGTCAAATGACAAAAAGTTATTTTACATGTGGTTTCATATGTTTAGTTGGTAAATGGTCATGCCGTCTGACTTAAGATGTGCAGTGTTTCATATGAATTGATTTTAAGACAATGATTAAAGTTGGATATTCACAATGAATGAAGATCCATTCTCAATAGTTTATATTAAAATATATTGTATCGCTTATCACATTCTACAAAATTTATCCTCATAATTATGCTTACTTATCAATTTCCATGTTACTAACAAGATTATATTTAAAATATTTGATAGAATAGTTATTTATGACTGAGAGAAACACAAGTGTTTTGAACAAACCGTGAAATTCCTTTGCAATTGATTGATTAATAAGACCCAGTTATTGTCAGCGTAGTGAACCCGATAAAATCCTCCTTGTTTCACATTCACCAAATACCAGTCGTCTGAGCTTATGTTGATTGTTTGATTCATTTCGTCTTGTGTAATTGGGGAATAATCAAATAAGTCAGTAATATTATAACATTAATCATATTTATATTATATTATTATTATGATATAATGAGTTAAAGCTGAATGAGTGCGTGGAGTTTAAGTAATTATTTTCACCTCATCAATTTAATATTGAAGGGACGATGAACGTTTTATTCTATGTAATGTTAGAAACATGACTCAGTATAAATTAGTACTACACATGTTGGATAGGACAACCATGTTCTCATTGTCGAGAAACGCTCGTCAAACCGACTGTCTAGCCTCAGAATGTGACGCGAAGTATGTACAGGTATGTGAAGCATAATAATCATTTATGCTAATGAAAATGGCAGAATGGTATTTCTTACTGTTCACCATCCACACAATATCGACATTTGTCCAGTTCACCGTTTGTGCTGACCCATAAGTGATTGGTATTCTCCAGGAGTATCTGGATGAAGCAAAGGGTATAATAATGAAGACTAAAAGCTATCAAACTATAAATATAATAATCAAAACAGGAAGTTTGATCGAGTACCACAACAAAACACATGTTGATAATGCTAGTTGATCGATAGGGGTCAAGTTGGATTTCAAATGTAAGTAGATAGGAATGTCCGTTAGTTTAATCTACTACAAAGTATGTCCTATGCACCTCCAAAATCTTGTCTCTAATTTCCTCTTCATTTGAATGATGATTTGTTGTCTCTCAATGTAAACTGTTGCTGATTGTATCCGGTCAACGTCAGTGAGTATCTTGTGCAGACGATTGTTTACAAATGCTTGTACATTTTTGATGATGGTTTTAGTAGTTCTACACGTCGCCGCTCAGTACAACAGAACTATTTTGACGTTTGTATTCAAGATTCTGACTATGATGTTTGCTTGCATACAGTTGTTAGGAGTTCCATATGTACTTCAACTATAAGAACGTAGTCCTTGTTTTGCCAACCCTCCCCCAAATGTCTGCATCGAGCTCTCTTTGGTTATCGATGATGATGTCTAGATACATGGAGGTTTCCACGATTAAAGTCACTTTTCCGAAACCCTCATACATAATCGTTATATCAGTGTTACCGAATGCTTAAGAAAGCGAGAGGCCACTGCATTTTCCACGACACGAATTACAAACACCGGGATCGGCGAACTCGAAGATCAATTAACCCGAAAATGTAACAACGATCGTAGTCGAAAAGACATTCACCATACATTGATCGTACGCCCATTTCGTTTAACGATTGGAATCAAATCACATGAACGAACAACACAGAGAAGTTCAACAAATCACATGCTACATTTCATGTTGAGCAGAGGTTATTTTAATTTCATACGAGTATATCGTATCTTGAATGAACACCACGCTGAAACAAATTATTGTTATGTCGAATAAAATATTACACTGGAAAATTAAAACAATAATACACCTATTAAGAAACGGAAGATATGATGGTTGAAAATCACAATGAGTCAAACTTGATTTCGCCTTTTTATCTCGTCATATAAATTGGTAAATGGCAATGATTTAAGATAACCTATTGAAAATGTAGTGAGAGCAATACAGCAACTAGTTCATTCGCAAAACAGCAATCAATTGTCTCAAACTTCATTATTTCTTCATTTCCACACTAATCATTCTCTGTTCACCTTCTCTTCTCTTCGATCTTGATAACCTTCCGCTCCCAGGCATTCACTTTCACTTGATGGTACGTCCTAATTATATCTATCGACACCAGTACCACTCAACACGATAACAAATGTTGCATACATTACAAGCTCACTTTTCTTCATATATAATCTCTGAATACGGATGTTGTCTAAATTAATACATAGTTCACTTACTCACGATTTGTTTGAGATGAATTGTTACCATAGTGTTGAAAGTAACGTATCTGCTCGAAACAGAACACATTCGAACCACTTCTCTTTACAATCACTAGTGGATAATTACTTTGTTTAGTCCAAGAGTCCATAATAAATCCAATGTCCAAATGATTTCCTTGAGTATTCCATTCCTAATTTGCAATTAAAACGAAATTTTGATTAGGTTATTGGCCTTATACTTTTGACAAATAATTTTACAGTATCGCAAATGTTTTTGTGTTTCAATGATCTGAGGCGTGTTTCGAGAATAGTGGTGGATATAACTGAATGAAATACAGTTAAATTCACTGATTGTTTAAGACCATTCACTATAATTTCATTTGTTGGGAATGTGGTAGGTGGATGAATAATTTAAAGCAGCATGCTCAAGCATGATCATATACACAAACCGATTATTGAGGTTCTAACACTGTAATTACAATCGGTGGAATGAATCAATGGATGAAACTCCAACTACTACTAACATGGAGTCTAGTGTTTTTTCAGAATAACATCAAAGAATAAGTAGGAACAGTGTTTGCGAACAGATAGTACATAGGAATATGAATTACGAAATTATTGTTTTGATGATTCCATAAATATTCGCGCGCTATTTAAAAAGGACAGTGGTATTTTTCCTCGCTGAGTAAATTTCATTGTTTTGATCGTTTATTACGTATCAAGACTACTGTTTTCACTTTAACTGAATTCATTTCAGTTAAAGTATTCGACTAGAGTACCGTTTTTACCGTTCTCTCAATTAGTTTTGTCGTTGGTACTCTTGAGTACCTCATTTTCAAATGTATCTGTTAGAACTTTTGGTCCTAACAATCTACAGTTTTTCACGTTTTGGTCATCCATTATTTTTTGTTTCTGAGTATCATCGCATCTCGTTCCTTTTTGAAAAGGTCGTCTTTTAAATGACCGGACAGTGTAAAAAAAAGCAGTTGCCAACGTCCGGGTTGTCGTTATTCCGTTAAAAGCGGAATGCGGTGCGACGAGTGCAAAAACTGGTACCACGAAGTTTGCACGCCTGTGGCTTTCAGAGGGTTCAGTGAGAAGGGTTGCGTATGGCTTTGTCAACAGTGTCGTTCGGATGCAAACAGCCTGTTAACCGAAGCCATCTCACTGGTTGATGCTGCAAACAAGTGTTTTAGCAAGCGTAGTCGGAACACGTCAAACAGCACTCGATCTGTCGACACACAAGTTGACATGAGGCAAACTAAGGTTAGTTCGATAGTAGATGACTCACGCCGGTCAGAGAAGGAAAAGCAGTCTCCAAAGGAGCCTGCCTTAAACAAAAGCTCAAGGAAAGCATGTTTTACTGTTCCCCGTCTCCCAGATGCGATCCCACAGGAAACGCCCAGAAGCCGCGATCGCAAGGCTCGATCGGTTTCAAGCGGTAAACATAACCTGACCCCTCAGGTCTTCGACAACCCTCCAGAATCCAACGCTAGGTTTGATGCAACTGGTGTTGCTTCTCCCAGCACTATGCGGTTATCCCATGTGCTTTAGCGCAACATGTGAAAGAAGCGACTAGGTACGACCCGGATACTGAATCATCCTCACTAGATCTGATACTCACTCACTATGAGGATGACGTTGCTAGCCTTCATTATATGCCACTCCTAGGTAAAAGTGATCACGCACTTTTAATTTTCGACTTCCATAAAACTGTCAGTCACGAGCACGCATCAGCCCAATCCAGACCTAAAGTCTGGAAAGCAAATATACCAGATACCATGCACTCAGCATCGTTAGTAGATTGGACAATAGACCCAGAGTTCTCAGTTGAAACGGCCTGGGACGCATTTCGAAATTCATACCTAAAAGTTACCACACCCCACATCCCTTGGACTATACTAGGGGGGCCGAGAAATTCCCCACCATGGTTCAGTAGGGAGGTTCGCATCCTTCTCCGTAAGAGAAGAAAAATGTGAGATAGATTTGGGTTACTGAGAACTGACGAAAATAAATCTCAGTATAGAAAAGTCCGGAATACCTGTACCTCGACCCTCCTTAAGTCTAGAAAGTTGTACTAAGAAAAGATTGTTAAGGAATCCATAGAATGTCCTAAACGCTTGTATCCTTATATAAACCAAAGGACAAAGAGAAGAGGAAATATTCCAACTCTATGGGGAGATAGTACTACCGCCTCACTAGTGGAGGACGACTTTGGTAAGGCTCAAGTGTTCTCGAACTACTTTAGCAATGTATACACCATAGAAGCACCCTTTCCATCAGCGCATACAGATCCCCCCACACATACACTGGATAGCGTGACCATTAAAGAACTCGATGTCTTCGGTAGATCCACGGGGCCCGATGAATTACATCCACACAACCGGCTCTTATATAAGTTAAGAAACGTCGGGATTGGAGGCAATCTATTTATGTGGATGAAAGACTTCCTATTTCGGCGTCAACAAAGAGTACGAGTGAACTCAAAGTTATCTAGCTGGGGAACTGTGTTTAGTGGAGTGCCCCAGAGCACTATTTTGGGGCCAGTGCTATTCCTCTTGTATGTAATTTACCTTCCTCGTCTCCTATCATCATCGGTCTTGCTATATACTGACGATGTAAAGATATGGAGAACGATACGATGTGAGGGTGATAGCTTAGAACTCCAAAATGACCTGAAGAAATTATCTGAATGGTCTCAAACCTGGCAGTTGCCGATAAATACTTCCAAGTGTGTTGTGATGCATATCGGTCATCAAGGTACAGATAGATACACGATGATTAACACTGAGCTACCTGTTGTCCAGACACACAATAACTTAAGTCATCGTTAGCCAAGACTTAAAGACTATTGCAAACTGCCGTGTAATAGCCACCATAGGTTTTAGAACGTTATGGTCAATATGTAGGGCTTTTAGTCATGTCTACACTAAGACGTTTTTGACTTGATATACAGTATTCATACGTCCTAAACTTGAGTACTGCATACAAACGGCCAGCCTCTGCTTAAAAAAAGACAGTGAGCTTCTGGAAAAGGTTCAGAGAACGGCATCCAAGCTGATTCCCAGAATAGCGGAGCTTCCGTATGAAGCTCGACTGGCCAACCCGAACCTTTTCCCATTGTCATATCGCAGAACTAGAGGCGACTTGATTACAGTTTTCAAATTGCTTAGTGCCAAATTTGCACCTGATATGCCCTCATTTTTCTTGTCTTCCAAAACAGAGAATTTACGAGGACACTCCAAAAAAGTTCACAAGCCAAGAACAAATTACTTGTCAGCTGACTGTCGCCTTTCCCATCGAATCATCAACGAGTGGAACTCATTACCTCAACACGTGGTTGAGGCTCCATCCGTCCATTCTTTCAAAAGAAAGTTGGATCAACTGAGAGACCATCATTGCCGGGACCAACACAGGCCATCAGGCCTCCTGTCCTTCCTAAACTGAAACTGAAACTTTTGAAATATATTTCAAGGCGACTATTCTGTTCAGTAATAACAAAGTGCGTGACGATCAGGAGAAATTATGAAAAGAACTCAACAACAAAATACATTACACCAAATGTTTTTGTATTAATGTAATAATCACCAAATGCTTACTTCAGATAATGCCTTCCATAAATCCTTTTCATCTGTGTTCTTATATTGGTTTTGAATTAAATATCTCTGAAATAAATACAGAAAAACGTATTATATAGAGCATTTCCGGATTTCAATTTGCAAGATATCATGAATTTAATCATAGGATTTAAGCCTAGACAGCAAACAATACAGTTCAGTGTTGTGTTTCTGCTTTCTACCAGAATACCACCCACAATCAAAATAAGATTAATGTTGAAGTGAGGTTGATGAACGTCACAGGAATAACCGAACTTTATCACTGAATCGGTTTTGTTGTAGTATACTAATGTCCCTTTCACATGGCTGTTACACCATTAAAAACGAGAAGTTCAGCGAATGGACACTTTTCAGTAAAATTATGATCAAGCTATATATATATTCATATGTATTTATGAATAAAATATTGAGCAGCAATCCGGTGAGTATATATGAATAGAGAATAAACACGACGATTTAATGGATCATCGTTCAACAAGTGTCCTTCAAAATGTTACACACACTGATCTCTCTTATCATTATGAACACCAAATAAATTTTTATTTTCCAAACCGATTTTATATTCAGAAATATTCACTTACGTTAGTGCAGCTGATGACAGATCGTGACAGATATACTGTACATAATTAGGTGGGATACAATTTCAACCAACGATCTATCAGCTATAATGGTGAGTGAAGTCTGTTTAACATAATTTGTTTGCAACAACATTTACACCGACTTGATATAAAATATCTCACTAACTAAGCTATAGTGAATATGGATTGTGAGTTGGCCAGACAACATTTGATTTTAAAAGCATTTTCCATTTGTTCATGACGACATACGAGTTCAAGTTTTTTTATTAAGTAGAGTGTCTGTTGATAAAAACTTGTTATAGCGTTTCAAGGAATACTTGTGTTGATGACTGTAGTGATCAATCATTACTGGGTTCTGTTAAGTTACGTCATACTGAGTTATAGCTAAGCAAATGATATGGGGACTCTCCGTATTGGATAGTCTCGAAGAGAACTTTGAAAATACTTAGTCAACGAAAAGAAATCAGTTCACTATTGAATGTGACCATTGAGACTAGATTATATGACACTCAGTTACAATAAAATAACCACTGTCAACGTACTTTTAAACCGTTTTGAAAAGCGCTACGGCCCATGAATTTCTCCATCATTCAAACCAAGGAGGCGCCCTGTGAATTATTGAATGCAATGTAGAATATCAACATATATATGAAACACGCAATGAATGTGTAGGTAAGTTAGATTGATCAGTCAGTCAACTTTTGTCCAGTCGAAGATAGGATGCAACAAAGTTAAGATACACTTAGGAATATTATCGTTTTCGAATAGAATATGTCACGTGGTTGAACACTGAATACTTTCGCATTATGATGGATTCACACAAAGTGGAAGATTACGTGTACTATGGTTTGGTTGATTCACGTAAGAACGTAGGAGAATTATAATCACGTGTAGATTGTTTCATAATACTGAATTAGAAGTCGTTTCATTTACTTGGTCTAACAAATGTTATGCAATCATTCAGGTGGTGACTGTTTTCTATCGTGTAAATAAAATACTGGTTTTCGTAGTCTTAACATAGATATAAAGTTCAAGTTTAAACATCACTGAAAATTTGTTGTGTAACCTTCGTTAAACATACACAATTCTGTTAATTGCAAATATGAGAGAATAATGAACTTCATGATTTCGAATGTCGAGAGTGTACTCAAATATTCGGATACATCAATCACTTCTACAGCATTACTTATGACTTACTTACTTACTTATGCCTGTTACTCCTCGTGAAGGAACATAGGCCGCTCACCAGCATTCTCCATCCAACCCTGTCCTGAGCAATCCTTTCTAGCTCTTTCCAGTTGTTATTCATACTTTTCATATCTGTTTTGATTTCCCAACGTAATGTGTCCTTTGACCTTCCTCTTTTCCGCTCACCTTCAGAATCCCAAGTTAGGGCTTGCCTCGTGATGCAGTTTGATGATTTGCGTAATGTATGTCCTATCCATTTCCAGTGTCTTTTCCTAATTTCCTCTTCAGATGTAAGCTGTTTGTTATCTCCCAGAGAAGGCTGTTGCTGATGGTATCCGGCCAATGGATGTTGAGTATCTTGCGAAGACAGCTATTTATAAATACTTGCACCTTCTTGATGATGGTTGTTGTAGTTCTCCAAATTTCAGCTCCGTACAGTAGAACTGCCTTGACATTCGTATTGAAGATTCTCACTCTGATATTGGTTGAGAGTTGTTTTGAATTCCATATGTTCTTCAACTGTAGGAATGCTGTCCTTGCTTTGCCAATCCTTGCCTTTATGTCTGCATCTGATCCTCCTTGTTCATTGATAATGCTTCCCAGGTATGTGAAGGATTCTACATCTTCCAGAGTTTCGCCGTCAAGAGTGATTGGATCGCTGTTCTCCGCTTTGAGTTTGAGGACCTTGGTTTTCCCCTTGTGTATGCTGAGGCCTACTGATGCAGAGACTGCTGCTACACTGGCTGTCTTTTTCTGGATCTGTTCGTGTGTATGTGATAGGAGGGCCAGGTCATCTGCGAAGTCTGAATCGTCTAATTAATTCTGAGCTGTCCATTGTATGCCGTGTTTTCCCTCAGATGTCGAGGTCTTCATAATACAGTCGACCACCAGAAGAAAGAGGAAGGGAGAGAGTAAACAGCCTTGTCTGACTCCGGTCCTTACTTGGAATGCATCTGTCAGCTGTCCTCCATGCACGACCTTGCACTGTAGTCCGTCGTATGAGTTCCGTATAATATTGACAATCTTCTCAGGAACTCCGTAGTGTCGAAGAAGATTCCGTAACTTTCTCCTATCCACACTGTCAAATGCTTTTTCATAATCCATGAAATTGATGTACAGTGACGAGTTCCATTCAATTGATTGTTCGACGATGATCCGTAGTGTTGCAATTTGGTCTGTGCACGATCGATCCTTACGGAATCCAGCTTGTTGATCTCGAAGTTGGGCGTCTACTGCATCCTTCATCCGGTTCAGCAAAACTCTGTTAAAGACTCCCTGGTATTGACAGTAGTATGATGCTTCTATAGTTTTCACATTTGCTCAGGTCTCCTTTCTTTGAAATCTTGACGAGTTCTCCTTCTTTCCAGTCCATCGGCAATTGTTCCTCCTCCCAAATCCTTTTGAATAGAAGGTGAAGTATGTTTGTAGTTACTTCGATGTCTGACTTCAGTGCTTCAGCTGGTATGTTGTCCGGTTCCGCTGCTTTTCCGTTCTCGATTTGTCTGTTGGCCATTCTGGTTTCTTCCTTCGTTGGTGGGTTGACGTCTATGGGAAGTTCTGTGTGTGCTACTTCGATGTCCGATGGATTCATTGGAGCCGGCCTATCCAGGAGTTCCTCGAAGTATTCTGCCCATCTGTTCAGCTGTTTTTGAATTTCAGTGATTGCCCTGCCTTTTTCGTCTCTGACCGGTCTGTCTGGTTTATTGTATTTCCCTGATAGTTTCTTCGTTGTATCGTAAAGTTGTTCCATATTTCCCTCCCTTGCAGCCGTCGTTGCGAGTTCTTCCACGTATTTCTGCTTGTCGGTTCTAATGCTCCTCTTCACTTGCTTGTTTGCTTCTATGTATTCAGCTTGTGCTTGGACTTTCTCTGCTCGTGTTCGGCTGTTGTTAATTGCTGTCTTCTTGTTCTTCCTTTCTTTGATCTCGTCCAGAGTTTCTATAGAGATCGACTCCTTATGATGGTGTTTCTTTAGGCCCAGAACCTCTTGACACGTTGAAGTTAATGCTTCTTTGATACCTTTCCAGTTGTCCTCCATAGTAGTTTCTTCTTCCTTCAGTAGATGTTGTAAGGCTTGAGACCTGTTGTTGAGAGCCATCTTGAATTCATTGAGTCTGTCAGTATCTCGAAGGAAGGCTGTATTAAACCTTTGTATTGCTGTTTGTCCAGTTGTTCAGTTCTTTTTAAGCTTCAGTTTTAAATTGGCCACAACTAGGTGGTGATCTGAAGCTATCTCAGCACCTCTTCTGGTTCTCACATCTTCCATTGTCCTTCCGAATTTTTTTCGATGCAAATATGATCAATCTGGATCTCTGTAGTGTGGTCCGATGAGATCCATGTAGCCTTGTGTATACAATTGTGTGGAAATATTGTGCCCCCTATGACCAATTTGTTGAATGCACATAGATTTGCAAATCTTTCTCCATTTTCGTTTCTCTGTCCCAGTCCATGTCGTCCCATGATATCTTCATATCCGGTGTTGTCTATTCCAACTTTGACATTTAGATCTCCCATCAGAATGGTGAGGTCCTTTCTTGGGCGCTTCTCTATGATTGACTGCAGCCGCTCGTAGAATCGATCTTTAATGTCGTCATTGCTATCATTGGTGGGTGCATAACATTGGATAATATTCATCAAGATCCCCTCCTTCTTTGTTTTCAACGATGCTTTGATGATTCTGCATCCGTGAGATTCCCATCCTACAAGTGCATTTCGTGCTACTTTGGACAGCATCAGAGCAACTCCCTGAGTGTGTGGAGCATTTTCCTCTTCATGACCGGAGTATAGCAGCATATCTCCCGTAGCTAGCCTTTTCTGTCCAGCTTGAGTCGAGTGGGTTTCGCTGATTCCCAGTACTGCTAAGTTGTATCTCCACATTTCCATTGATATTTGACTGGTCTTCCCGGTTTCCCACATTGTTCGAACGGTCCATGTACCCACAAAAATTTTTGATCTGGTCGTTAGAAGGGTCATCGGCCTCTTGGCTTTTGAAGGAACTCGGCTTCCACCATGAAGCGTCATAATTCTTCTAAATGAAGACCTTCGAACTCCCAGGGCAGAGTTAAAATGGTTTGAATTATTTTTTCTGGTAAGTGTTTTTATAGCGAGTTAGTTTTCTACGCAATGGGGACACTAACCCCATGCCCAACCCTCCTAACTTACCCGGGCTTGGGAACGGCAGTAACTCTAGAAGAGCTACAGGCGGAATAGCTGACGATATTTTCCACAGTTAACATATCACCATCTGTTTGAGTTCGTTTATTGTTTCACTTGTTCATCGAATTCAGCTCAGTTTATTCAAGCACGTTATTGACATAAATATGCATTGAGATGCTATACGGATTTATAGTGTGAAATTCGAAGGTTATGTTCATCTTGAAATGAACAATTGTAGTAGTAGTAGTAGTCATGTTAATCGTGCTTAGATTGATATCTGAATTCAGCAGTGTGGGGATTTGTGAAGATTGTAGTATTTTAACAGTTGAACTCATGAGTCGATTTAAGTTAAATCACTACTGAATACCTGTGGGCACTGGATGGTCGGTTGGTTTTAGTATAGAAATCCTCAGTAGGTCTTTCAGGTTTTCAATGGTGGTCGAGCTCAGATCGACTCTTGGATTCAACTATGAAAATCCGATCTGTTGCCTCAATCTACTAATAGTGCTTTTATTAAGGTTGACACGACGAAAAACATATCATTATTCAAATGCCATTGTATTAGAACATTGAAGCAAATTTAACACTTCAAATTACTCGTTGAGAGAAGCATCATTCTTCTGCATGATATCAAGATTTTTTTGACGATCATTAAAATAGAATGAAAAATTAAAATACAACATTTGAAGAAAATCAACAGCCAATACACAACTGACCTTATCATAGGTGATTGAATCAAACATGGTTATAATTCGTATTGCAGTATTAGCTGGATAAATGACTGGTCTTGATAACATGAAAGTATCAATATCAAGTGCTAGCATCAATTCATCCAGTATGAATAGTTCATCCTGTTCATCGAAGAAAAAAATCATCTTTATTGATAACAATATTATCCACAATATAATCATAATGTGTACTAAATTTGTTCAAACATTCGCTATTATTTAGTGAAGGGTCATTAATTATCTCAGCATTTGTGAATTCTTCAAGTGCCACCTGAAAACTAATTAAATTCCTCCTTCCTATTACAGAGTGAATTCAAACAATTCCCACTAATTGAATTAAAATCAAATTACCATTTTGGATGAATGAAATAGAGTTCTAATAAATCTTAAATTTTAGGAATATATGTAATTTGCTAAACATTCTGTGTGTGTGGTGTTGAGCAATGCAAAACTTTATCTATAAATACCCGCTTCTATGTAGCATGTACAGGTTATATGAAAACAATTTCTGAAATGACAAGTGACATGTACAAAATGAAACAGCGAACTGATAATATCCTCAAAGAAAACACTCAACTTACTACTTTCCACTCAGGATGCAGTAACTGTACTCCGATGTATTCGAAAAATGTTGCAAAGCCTTCGTTCAACCACAAGTTATCCCACCATTTCATTGTCACCAAGTTTCCTAACCACTGAAAGAAATGTGTTTTAATTGGAAATTGATAAACGTAGCATATTCGGATTGCTCAATCGATTTCGATATTAACATAAGGTCATATACTTATATTGTTAAAAATGATGCTTGTAGGTTTTTGATGTCATCTTATATTCCGTTCCTGAATCCTAGTTGTAAAGGAATTCCGAATGGTGTAGTGCAAATGAGTAGCCGATGGAATTCAACTACAACTTGTGAGAATTGAATACATGAGAGCAGTTATTGTGTTATATTTACAATATAACTACATGTAAAATAGCTAAACTAGTGACTCAGCTTGTCAGTAAACCGAATTCTCATAATAATGGCATATGAGGTGATGAATGAGCAACAAACATTTAAGAAATGTCTTGGATCATTTGAATAATTATTTTACTTAACACGTTTATCAACAATGGACAGGGACTGAATAAATTTAGAAACCTGTTTTGTTAGAGTCCAACTTAATGAAGTAAACAAAACTAGCTAGCCGGAAATCTCAGGTATTCTGTGTTGTAATTGCTGCAGTCGGAAACCACAATGAATCAGTTTTCGATCGTTTTTCAAGTATTGTAAATTTATTATCCGAACGATCTTTAAATTGAAGAGATATAAATTGAATTTAACATTTCGTTCTTCATTTAAAAGCATACCTGATGAGCAAGTTTATGTGAGACAGTAAACGTCACATCAATTAAAGTATTTATTGAACCGTTTTCTGCGTCCCATAACATCTTATTTTCATCATAAGTTATCAAACCCCAGTTTTCCATTGCCGTTATTGAAGAGTTAGGAATTGCAATCATATCTGAAAATATGATGGAAGATATGTTTCAAATGTAAACGGTTCTTATCACATACATACGTACATACATACTTACCTACATAAATACCTACACACATAGATACACGGTTGTGCATACTTAATAAAAAGGATTACTTACGCACATCCATATGTATGCAAATATTTACCCCAGTTAAATAGCTGAATACTTTCGTTTTGGATGTGGTTATTTGTTCTCTGAAGAAGTGACTTACTTTGAGTCACGATATATTAAAAAATTTAAATTTTCTACTCATTGGGACAATACAAATGTATTATTTATTTATTGAATATATTTAACATGATTCAATCCACTCCAGTTCAAAACATAATTAACGTAATTAAAATAACATTTGATTTGGTTGATCATGCATCCCTTTCAGTTATTTAGACATTATTGTTTGGTTGCATAGTTTACATTGCACAGTATTTAATTACACATATATTAAACGTGAACACATTTGTGTGAAATACCTACCCATTTTAGGAAGTGAATAGGGAATGCCAAAATAATCTTCAAAGTATCCCAATAATTTTATGCCAATATCAAGTGCATATTCAGCTGATCGAATTTTATCCGGTCTTGCCCAAACAGTGAACTAAATGAAAGAATTATTTTATCCACAAATGGATCAGTCTGATGAAAAACCTAAATGAACTTCAAATCATTATTGCTAAAACTTCATAGAAAAGACTGTTTTCAATGTCACGAGTGATTGAATCACTTTGATTTGATTGAAAACACAGAGAACTCAGCATTGTTAAAATAATGGCTTACACCATCAAACAATGCTTGTGCTTCTGAATACTTTTATGGAACATCCTCTATTCACGTGTTCTGTTTTAGTTTCTACCATCACTGCGGCGTTGCAAGCGTGTTCACATAACTTCGAAACATCGAGGAACTGCTACTGCTTCACTGTGAATACTTGTATGTATGTAACGTGGATCTGTGTATATCCCGAACCGTCTCGGATGATCGGTTGCATGCAATCTCATGATGATTCTTCCTGGATATACATGATTTCAGTACATCACAAAAGTATTGCATGGAGAGTTACAAAACATCTGTTTAATTGATAACACTCACGTTTCGTCCTCTATTGTCTGTCCTCTGAATATTCGAAAACTGTGAAACTACAAATGCCAACAGATATGTGGACATTTTCACACTGGTGTTATATCTGTCGACATGCCAATCATCGTGCAACACTTCCGTACTTTCCAAATTCATGTTCGAAAGCGAATGGAAATTTTTGTCGCGTACAATATTGACCTGAAAGACACAAACGTGAGAAATTTGTTCTCGAATAATAAGTGGCATATTTAACCAATTGAAACAATTCAAGATTCTTACTGTGCTTACCTAGCAATATATCACATAACCAGCTGGAAATCCTTAACTCATGTGGAAACTAATTTTCTAACTGACGTGAAAGATTACTCATTAGACAATCGTGGAAGTGTTGTCTGACTGAAGCATGTTGCATACTGAATGGGCTATATGTTCATATGATCTTGAGTGCCATCTGTGAATGGCTGATATTCACCTGAAGTTTTCGTCGCACATAAGTAGTGAAACAAATAGAAATATTCTCCCATTTAAGACTTATCAACACTGATTACTTAATCATGGTTAATGGAGAGCTTTGTGGTAACATGTAGATGATAGGGAGTGTTATAACCTAATTCAATACATTGATTTAGTGCAAGAAATGTATTGCTGTCATTATATACGCTAACGTTCCAGAAGAGAATACGTTATTTTAGATTGTCGCTGTTTGTATTCGACTAGATTAATTCCAGTAAATTCTCATAAGAACATTGTACATCGGCTTTGGTATATGTGCCTTTTAATAGATAACCAGTTGCCTTTAAACAATATGATACATATTAATAAATTTCGAAGTGTGTTGGTAAAACGCGGTCATGAACCGATTTAATCAATTTAACCAATAATGTGTTTCATAACATGACTGAAGTAAGCTAAGCTCATCACTACCACCAATTAGGTGTTCGCATATCACACACACAGCATTTAAATCACAAAGCATCATTCGGTTTAATAATTTCGCGTTCTGATAAAAACTGACTCGGATTCACAGTAGATCACAAATCATACGGAAAAATATGAAAATGAAATAAAGTTCAAATATATCATACCTTGAAATTTGCTTTAAATTCCGGCTCATCCCAACATGGAAATACATTCCTTGCATAAATTGACTCCATGTAAGTACTTGCCAAATATCTGAAATATATATAACGGTGAACATTTGTTTACAAGTACATATCTCAGTTTCGATAGTTGGTGCTTAAAAATGTGCTTTCGAACAAAAAGAAATGTCTCGAAAGAAATATCTTGTCCAACATGTCACCTGTCACTTCTGACGCGTTGCCGTTCATATAGTACACTTATTTCGGAAAGTCATTGTGTCATCCACTGTGTTGCTCAGTACATCTACACAATCATATTTTCGCTAAGGTGAAACGTTCTAACTCATCTTTGATGACTTATGAATTTGTTATCATCACGTTTATACTTTCTCACAATTCTAGACGCTATTTGGAATAATCCACATTTATTATTTTATATCGATAAGGCAGCAAAAATTCACCAGTCTTTCTAAACCTTCCACAGATTATTAGTTATCTGTACCTATGTCTTTATGGAAAACCAAATGGGATTGTAAACCATGTAATAATACTGATCATAGTTACGATATGATGACTACCGGAGATGTCACACATCGGTAGACATATATTGTGTTCCCAGAGAAGAATTTTCATTGTCAAGTTAGTACTGAATAAATGCATTTCTTAACCAAAACACAGTGAGCAAATAAACGTGTATTGTGAAGCGATGGTTAAGCGTTGATCATCACTGTTCAAGCATGTATGCAAATGATTGTGTTATTTGCGGTCACCATCGAGTTGGTCCACGACACCAAATAAACCTGCACATATATGTCTTAAATCGAGACTCACTTGTAAATCCCATTTTCCAAATATCTGATAATATACAGTCCATCAGAATCATAGTCCATATCAGAACGAAACTGTCCAAATGTCAGATTGTAATAAGTATATTGTTGCAAAGGCGTTTTGAGTTTAATTCGATAACAATCAACATCTTCAATATAATGGACTTCGTCTATTTGAATATAGGAACTTGTTTGACTTTTTTCACCAAGAAGCGACATCTATTTTCAAAAAGCAGAGACGGGAATTATTGTAAAGTGACAATATTTATATTTGATCACAAGGAAAATTCACATTTTGAATAGATGGTAATTTATTTCCGTTCGAGTAGAAATTCGGATTCTCTAATGTGAAATAAGAAGAATAATACGAACAAAAATCTCTTATGTTCAGCAATAAATATTTCTGTCTGTAGCTCTCTTAGGATTCCTCCTCGTTGCGAACCCGGATAAATGAGGAGTGTGATTTATAACATTAGCCACCACGTGCCACAGAAAACAACCTTGGTAAAACATGACTATACCGAATAATCATTTGAACCATTTAAACTCTTGCCTTCCAGTTTAGGGATGTTGAACTAGAAGAGTTAGGGTGCCTCATGGTGAAAACCGGGATTCCTCAGAAGGCATGAGGCCTATTCACCTTCCTGCAACCAGAGCAACTATTAGTATAGTTACATGTAATGTATGGACAATAGGGGAGGCCGCGAGAGCTGACTAAATAGCTACGGAAATGAGGAGTGATATTCGAACCCAGTGAAACATATTGAACCAACCTGGACAGAACATCAAAACAGTCCTATTGCACTGAGCTGAGAATTGGTTAACTACCACAACCATCATCAAAAGAATACAAACATATACAAACAATTTTCTTCAAAAGGTACTCAATATTGTTTGTCCAGATAAAATGAATAACAAACAAGTTTCCAAGTGGACAGTAAGTTAGGAAAAGACGTTGGAATTGGATAGGACATATATTGTGGATGTCATCAAACTGCATCACGAGGCCAGCACTAAGTTGGAATCGTGAATGGAGACGGAAGAAAGGAAGACCAAATAACACACTGAATCAAGTATTAGAAGAAAACACTGACCGGATGAATAGGGAGTTGAAAGAACTAGAAAGGATTGTTTATTACACAGTTGGATGAGGAATGCTGGTGGACTGTGCATCCAACTGATGAGTCTCGAATAGGACAAACGTGCGTCCGGGATTCCACTGCTAGCCACTATCCATCCTTGCCTATAATGTTCATGGATTCATACAATATACATACAATACGCACAGTATGTATGTGTGCATATAAGAGAATGATCAATTGAAGTTCTGAACATCAATGGGAATATTCAAGTTAAAAAATACCGAGTGGATTTAGTCTTTAATGTGTTTCTCAGTTGAACTATTAAAAAAGCGGTGATTTTGGTATTTTCAAGGGATCCGTTTTGGATCTTGAATGTAGAATCTTATGCTTAATAAGAACTTTCGTCTAAATTTGAACGAATAGTTTCACAATATTTGGGCGCCGAGTTCATGTGAGTCATTAAGGAATCTTATGCTATCTGATAAAATTAATTGGTTGACCCCCTGAATAAATTCAAATTTCTTATGTTAGTATCGCTTAACCTGTTTAAAAATGATATTGTTTGTTCTAGTAAAATAACCTTCAGTTAACATTTTACGTTTAAGTAGTTGCCACTCTTGTTTCCTTTCGTACAACTCTACGTCCAAGTTGTATCAGACAATATTGTTTTCAAATAATTTGAGAAATACAATGATGTAATTGTGTTCTGACTTGGATCATATTGTGGTGTGTCCTAGTTATATTGACATAAGTAGTATATGACAATAATCACGAACAGAATGTCTGGCAGCAGAGAGACAAGAGGATCAAACAGTAAATAATGGAAACAAAATGCAGTTTGTATGAAAATGCAAGAACAATGAAGTCTGAGTCACTTTGGAACAATTGATGGTCAGTTTGCAAATTTAATAACAAGTTCTGTAATTTCCTAACTAATACATTCGATTGTACCCACTGGTGTTTTTGTTCACTACAATATAATTGAAAATTAATTAGAAGTTAGTTTTTACTTGAACTTCAGTCTAGTCGAAATTCTGTTTGAATCACTGTGAAATAAACCATTATAAATGATGATTCTGAAAACACATTTTGTTGAATAAACTTTATCTAAGTTCTGAATTTCAGTTAACGATGGATAATAATTTTCAACAGTCATATTATTATCACATACGTGGTAGACATTTGGTCGATCATGTAAAATTCGGTTGACAGAGACAACAACATTATTAATTCACTCACACGATGTTATCGACTTCCAAGTTTACTTGGTTAAGACATTTGAATGTACACTTAAAACTAATCAAATTGTCAATTCATTTAGTTCAGCGAGATGTTCCGATTAGGAACCAGTTTTTAATGAAAAACAGTCAAATTAAAAATGTTCATGAAATAAAGGATACTTTCCACACAAACGATGACATAAATGTGAGTGAATGTTTCGTTTTTATTGGGTACCCTTGCATTATATGAGTTCGTCAGTTGACTTTATCTTCATTTCAAAGAACGGATTATTTTCCAATAAACGTCAGTTTGAAAACTATAGCTTACATGGATTTGATCCAAGCTCACATTCAGATTATCGGCTGCATGTACGAAGAACTCGGTTGTCGACACATTACAGAAAACTTTTATTGTCACAGATCCATTGAAGAAAAATGCTTGTGACTTGTTGTCATGTAAATGGACTTGAATTGACAAATCGTAGAAATGTGGAAACAATGTACGTGGTAATCTAAAATCCTCTGATGAATGAATCGACACATTATTGTCATCGCCGATATTTTCAGTTGCACTAGTAGTTAACGTATCTAAAACAAACGTTTGAAGGAGAATGAGTATTGCTCATGAATCGGTAATAATCAATGAGTGAAGACTGTTCACACAACATTGTTCATTACACCCAGGAGCTTGTCAACTCAGTTCACGGTTAGATCGTACTATAAGCCACATGAAAATGAAGCATTTTCATCTACCAAGTTTAATTATAACATACACCTTCAGTAAAACCAGTCATTTGAGCTTGTTAAAATTTATTTTGGTGTATCTTCTGCCGAAAACAACTGAACCTAATATGTGATTGACGTATCTATAATTTATGTTGTTGTTAAATGATCACGAACTATGTTGCATTATACAAAATAGGGTACATGAAAAAAATAAACATTTCGTGTGCTTCAGGTATTTTCACAATGGGCATTTCAGGATTTTACATCTACAACCCTATCCATGAGAATCAAACTGAGGTAATTCAGTCATGCTCTCGAAAGAATGATCTCTAGACCACTGGACCCGAATCGAACGGTGCTTTAGACCCACCTCATTTCATCCACGATATTGGGCGATCATCTTCCGTTGTCCTCAGTGAGTACGTGACATAGCATAAGAATCGTTAATTTGTGAATCATATGGATAAAATATTAAATCGCAGATCTCCATTCAACGAGACTCTGAATGATTAAAGAGCACTCTATTTATAATATTACTAGTAACACGATAAAATATTTACGTGGTTTCAATGGTTAAGCTACTGCATAGTAATAAAAATGATACTGGTAATAAATCTTCAGTCATTGAGTCAAAAACACAATAAAAATTAATTGAAATATACATACTTGTATACTCTGAATCAAATTCAAAAAAATTAGACCTGCTCAATGCTGAAGCATCATTGACTAACATAAACGAAAGAATCAACACGACCAACATGATGAATGATTTCTTTGACCGCATTAAATTTGGGATTGCTAACGTTTCTGCATGTATTAGGTGGAGAGATAGACAGTGATGAGTGGAATCAAAATGTCTTCTATCAGCATTATCCACAACCAACATGTTCACAGGGTTCTTGAGTTTGAATAATTGTGAACCAACGACAATATTATCTACAAGTATCAGACAGTGGTTAGCACAGTTCTCTTTTATAGATATTTTGCTAACGAGTAACAATTGAAATCACAGAAAAAACGTGATTTTTTTAAAAGCGTCTAACAGTTCGAAACAATCTCACGCTTACAGACCGTGATCTAAACTTATAAGAATAAGGTCGAGTAGATGAATCTTGTCTAGTGAACTGTTGACCTTTAAACAGTGTTAAGTTGCATTTCAGTGGTCATATGCAATGTCTGACTGCATGTATTAGTAACAATAACGTCTGACACTGGTAGCCATATCCCTAATTGAGAAGAACAATAAATTTTGGTTTGGGTAAAGCGAGGCGATAGTTTAAGGTCGATGCACATGCACGAAAATGACAGAAATTCATGTAACTGAAAAAGGTACCAATAATTTTATCTCAGCAGCCTTTGTGAAGTGAATTAAAGACATGTTCACTGTTATGCCAAATCGTATGTGAATCAGAACAGTCTGTTTCGAATTGTTTGAACTTCGCCAATACCAACCCATCCAGAGGTTTATAGGAATCCACATAGTTCGGTTGTTTCCATGTATATGATCTCCAGATTTGGTCAGTTCTAACACATTGGATACACAACACCGTGCGGAATTCATCAGAGATTCAGATTTCAACTGTGAAAGGTGACAGCAATCAACCAACAAATAAAAACTGAAAAACTAAGAATCCTACATGTACTCAACCGGCTGCCGTCCGTCTATTTGAAGTCGGATCTGTTGTAAAGTGTTTCGAATGGCGATAGTAAAATTGTCGGAAGGACCATGAATTCAGTTTTACAGTTTCCACTTAGTCAAACAACAGTCTACTCCATTTTTCGTCACACCATCAATTCAGCATTGAATCTGACTTCATACTAAGTCATCCGATTTGTAATAGGAGTTTCGAAATGCCTCAAGAGATGCATAGGCTGGTTTTCGGACGTAGTCAAATCTTGAACACTAGTGAAAACGTTACTCAAAATGTTGTTGGACATACGAAACTATTTCTAATATGTGTTGATATTGACATTTTCACAGTAACAAATCTTGATGAAAAATTAGAGAAAATAGACGAATAATCACAAAATCGGCTTAACAGTCCTCATGCTATAAAACAGTCATAAACCGGAAAAAGAAATGTAGAGTGTTTAGGAGAACAATGACAAGCATTCACAAATGCTTTGAAAAGAAACAATAAAAATCAAGCAATCAAGTCAAACATTGCATATGACCACTGTCATGTAACTGAACACTGTTTAAAGGTCAACAGTTCACTAGACAAGATTCATCTCGTCGACCTTATTCTTATAAGTTTAGATCACGGTCTGTAAGCGTGAGACTGTTTCGAACTGTTAGACGCTTTTAAAGAAATCACGATTTTTCTGTGATCTCAAAACACAATTTCTTTCGACATACTGAAAAGCCAAACAAATTCAAGTTAACTATCAACAGCAGGTTCTAAACCTAAAAGGATCTACTGAAAGAAGAAAAACTATGATGGAGGAAAATTAGAAAACGATCAAACAAGTAATAACTTCAACGTGTCAGGATCTCTATCGAAACGCTAGACAAGATTCAAGAAAGGACTAATAAGAAGACAGCATTTAACAACAGCCGAACAAGAACAGATAAGGTCAAGGCACAAGCTGATGCACACGAGTTGACAAGCAGGTGAAGAGCAGCATTAGACCTGACAAGCAGAAATATGTGGAGGACCTAGCAACAACAGCGGAAAAACTGCAAGTGAAGTAAATGTGGAACAGCTATGTTACGTGACGAATAACTTATAAGGGAGCTGAGGAGTCCAGGCAAGGACACAGAAGGCAGGTGAATCACTTGGATTCACGTACAGAGTAACAAATGTGTGGATCACTTTGAAGAATTTCTGAATGAGTCATCTCCATTGCATCCACTAGACATCGAAACACCAGCTACAGAACTTCCTATGGATGTCACTCCACCAACGATTGAAAAAATCAGGACGATGATCATCTGACAGATCAAGAGTGGGAAATTAGTAGGACCTGACAGTATACAAGCTGAAGCATCGAAGTCGGACACAGAAGTAACTGCTTCGATACTACAGAGAGTACGTTAGTAAGAACAAACATTAAATTAAAGTCTACGAACGCCGGATTCACAGATTATCGAGTAGAGCAAATCGCAGTTGAATAAGCCATAATTTAAATTTCTCGGACATTTGTCTCTAAAACTCCAAAGAATTTCTCTAACTAAGAGGATGTAAATTACATTATTTAATATATGTATATAAGTTTCAAAATCTTGATGAACAAACACTTGAAAACACAAACAATCTTATCACTTTTATGGAGTATAAGTACTAGTTACACACCAGATCAGCGCTCAAGAATTTTCTCAGAACATAGAAATTAAATAAATGTATCTTTACAGATAAGCATGCATTCTGGTTAATAGCTATCATAATTAATAGTAGTATTAATAACAATAATAATAATAATGTTAACAATACTAATAACGATAATAGTAACAATAATAGCAATTATTCATTAAGTAACTGAGCTTGTATATCCATTTTTATATCATCCTTGTACTATAAAACATATTCTCGTCCATCTGTAATAAAGAAAAATGTGTATTGCCAATAATAGTAGAATGAATATATGTACGATCGAATCATTGTACACATATATATACGTTTCAGTGAAGAATGGATATTAGAACATTCAAAATAATAATAATATTATTAATAATAAGACCACATGAAAACCGAAATATGAATACGCAACATTGAATAAGAGAGGAACAAGAAAAATGAGTATTTTGTTACAGAGACACAAGTACAGATGAATTGATTGATAGATCGATTGATAGATCTGTGAATTGACAAACCAGTAATCAATTAATTCAACAGAATAAAACTGTCTAATAGTGAAATTGTTGATTAGTCTGAAAGAAATGCATTCAAAGTAATGTGATTGTATTGGGAACATTTTTATTCAACCAATTACTGATAACATCACGATGAGTTTTTGTCCATTTCATGTTTTCCTTTGACCTTTTAAACAAATCATTTAATCCACGTTTCAGAACATGATTTTCAAGTAGTTTTTGTCCAGAATTTTGCATAGCAAGTACCTAGTGAATTAAAAGTCAACCATTTGTATTCATTAATTTCAAAAACAAAAACTTAATAACTACCAAATAAATTAGGTCGACCTGTATGGTAGTAATCAGTTCGGGTGGATGGGGTGAAAACACCTCAATCTGTGAATTGGATTGCTGTTGGTTCAAGATATGAAGCATATATCTTGAGTGGAATCTTTGAAATGATATATCCACCAACTAATAAACCGTCAGAAAATGTGGTTAGAATACTTCTTCCCTGGATTTGTAATATCTTATCACATCGAATAAAGTTTATATGGCTGACAGTGTCCATAATGATAATGAAAACACTACTACATTATCAACCTCAACGAAATCACATCACTTAACTCATCCAACCAAGCTGCAAAACTTCCACGTCATAAATATAAATTTATTCCTGTGTAAAGACATCTAAAACACCAATATATTCCGTCTATATATAAATCGAAAAATGTCATCAATCCAGAAATAACTTTTGTTTAGATAGAACGATGTGATTGTCTCCACAAGTGCACTAAAATGTTAATTTCTAGTGATTAGTACTTAAGCCAATTGTTAAGGGTTTATTGGCACCACTGAAACAACGTCAATGTTTTCAATTTCTCAATGAAACAGATTTTTGAAGGTTTATCGATGTTAACTATCTTTTACTATTTTTTGCAGTGTACGCCATAGTAATGTACTTGCTTTAACTAGTCCAAGATCATACCGGTCTATATGTTCAACTTGGTCATATACAACAGTGATAGCTATTGATTGAGTGTTATACAGAAAAATAACCTTCACTTCAAAACATCCAACGTCATATACGTAGTGACTAAATTTATAAAATTAATAAGAATTTAAGAAAAAATTGAACTAACTTCTTCTTGATCCGGTATGTTATTTAGTGTGTAATGACGTTTGGATAGTATTTTAAGGATTACAGTTAGTACACACCTGTAAAATAGAACAAATAAACATAATTCATATCTTGATACACTTTCCATCGACTGCAGAATCACTTACCTGATGTTCTATCCATTCTGCTAACACTATCATATCCCGTTAATAGTTTAGTTGTATGTATCATAGCTTAAAGTGTTTAATAATTTGGATTTCATTAAAGCATGAACAATTCGAACAGGAGTTGACTAAACTGAATTGCCTATAATAATGGATGTTGTTTTACCAACAAAAACGTAAAAAGATGATTGAATGCTAGAAATGAATTCTCCTGAATCACAACCTCATACAACATGGAAAACATTTTCGAACTAACAGGTGGTGAAATGACCTGTATTATTAACACCATAAAACTATTCATCCGTTCATGTCAAAACAAACCATGTCAATGCATTTTCCATCTACATAGTAAATAGTCAGTTGTTCATAATTAAATTTTCAAACATGTAACATAACAATTTTTAGTTTAGTACCTGTACACGTTGTTTGATGTAAACTGTGAATGAGGCTGAAGTATATTCATAATCACAAAAAGATAATAATTTAATTAAATATAAACAAGTACGTTTAACTGTATTATTGCTAAACGAAGATGTGGTAGATATCACGAGAACGAATAGCAATTATGAACAATTGGAAAAGATGGCCAAGGTAAAAGTTGGATGTAGAATCCTGGTGAGTATCCTATGCTCTTCAACGAGGGATAACAAGCGATGGTAAGCAAGTAATTGCTGAATTGAAATCATACATAAACTACTTGAACAATGCAGAAGTGAAAGAATTGGTTTGCTCGGGTATATATACATATATATCATATCTAAACTATGCTTTCTTGTAAAAGCAAACGAACTCCGAAATATATACCAAAGTTATTCTACCTAATATATTTGTATTGTACAACCAATACTACCTACCAAGATCTATGAAATAGTGTGACAGATAAACAGTATTTGGATGATGGAAATTCTAGAATATGGCAAACCTTGTCCACGGTCTTACTGACAGAATCCAGTCACTACTTAGGTTTACTTCTGTTCCAAATAGACCATGATCTATGCTAATCATAAATACTTATTATACACCCTATGGATTCAAAATGTATCAGCGAAATCCTAGTGCCTATATGCCTTTCAGATTGAATATTAGTTCTTCATTGACATTGGAAAATATATTATGAATTCGACGGTTAAATTCATTAAGCAAAATGTAATTTTTCACTCTTCTATTTTTAACTTTATTAGGTACTTTTAGTTTACTGTGTACAGAAAAATCTATTTGAGTTACCTATGTTGTGTTTATCTATACTTGTGTCAGCGTGTAAACTCCATAAATTTATGAAAGTGAAAACACAATACCGATATGAAGGAACTCCAGATTCGATTATTGCAAATCAATAACTTTTATTGGTAATGCAATGGAAACAATGTTAATTACTTCCTTATTACGATTCTAATATAACGAATATTATTTATTGCTGAATTCTCATTAGACCCTCTGTAATCATAAATATTAATGTGATATTATCTACGAAGGTAAACTGGATAGTCCAAATATGAAAGAAATGTTGATGGAAGGAATAATTTTAAGTGTTTTTGTGCAAACCAATTGTATTACTTACTCATTATTACGCCCAAAGCTTGCGGTTTGGTGATACTTGCAAATGTCATTGAGATCATCAGATGAAGCGCTAAATAAGATGGAGTAGTACAAACTAGTCTTAATTTTATTGACTATCTATATTACGTGTAATTAAATTTAGATTTTTATTCCACAAGCAGTTAGACCCATTTAGTTCATTGTCAGTAACTTGAAATCGAATGTGATTTTGTAAAAATTGTTAGGACGTCAACCTCTAGTCTGTTTCGTCTAATGGAGAGATAGGAGTCTGTCTTAAAAATCAATATTTATCACTCAAATGAAAGTAATGAAAATGATGAGCATTATTTTAAACATTTCAGACAACATAGAAGATGTGGAGTGTGCCGACTCCACATATTTCTAAGGTATTAACGCTTATTGTTTAGTATGGAAAAAATGTGAAGTAGAACAGCTAGCGAATTTAACATTATGCTTACAAAAATCAAAATGTCAACACTTGACGAAATGACAATCTGATTATTTCTCCACATCTTAACTGACATGAACCAAAATCTTTCTTTTCTAATTGTAGAGACGGTATGTTAGGTTGACCTAACCAATCAGATGTTAATAGATGTTCAGATAGATCAAATGCTGTTACGTGGTCACATGGTAAGAAAAAGATATAATTATGCGTTTACTGTAGTTGGTGTTTGAATTATGTGTCTGGTATAAATTACCACTATGATATTAAATTATGACTATATGCATCGTGTCTGATAATATCGATTTAGTTTCGTCACACATCTTCGCAAGCATCTGAATTATGTTTGGGGTGAATGCAACTACTAACTTTAAAAGAACCAATCTTATTTTATGTCACAATGCAATATAGTGGGCATATAGAGAATTTATTGACCGTGTCTCGTTCACTCAAATGAGCCGAGATGCTGCGATACATTGTGTGACACCGAAGTAAAACTTATACTAAATCGGTAATCACAGGAACATAAGTATAGTAAAACATAAGTGAAACACAGAATAGAAATATTTAGTCACTAACACTTTACACTACGTAACCATCATTTACTGAAATATGTTACTACTCTTCAATAAATAGTGATGTAAATTCCGATTCCGTTATTGTAATCGGAATGAGGTCAAACTTTTTATTTATTTAATAGACGGATGCATACAATTCATTCATCTAAATGTTTCTCTACAAAACACTTTGTCTTCACAAATATAAAATTCAACCTTAATCGATTCGAAAATTGAAAGAATGTCCTCTAGAGAAAATGAAGAAGTTACCGATTGCCAGCTAAAATTTATTGCACATTAGAAAGGCTTCAGTAGAACAAAATGGATTGTGAACCAACAACCGCCAAATAAAAATTTCAATTTTGCGAATTCTTATGGTTATTTCAGAAACTAAGAACAACCAACGTCTCCTATCTTCAACATCCGATTACCGACAAATTTAACCAGGATAATTACTTTGGTAATCATCCTAAAACCCTAACAACCTTCATAGTTTAAATGTGATGTAGAGAATTATCAGATTAACGACACGTAGAAAAAGTGGTCAAGTAGGATTATTCAGTATGTAATGTGAAATAATGGATGCTTTGGAAATCTGAGCCAATAATCACGAATGAAAAACTATTGAATGTACTACTTAACAATTTGGAAGTAGTCAAGTGAATACAAAGGTAATGACTGAATGAAAATTGTGGACATGCAAAGTATAACGCAATAAGAAAGCATTCTGTAACTGAGGTAAGCAATGAAACTTACGCTTTAGCAGTTGGGCGAGTTGCGTTTTTCCCTCTGAAAACAATTGAAAATGTTAATGACATTTTGATTTGTCTTACATTGAAAATTTCTAAATGAGTAAATCTGAAATTTGCCATAATTATTTACTATTTCTGAGATAATAAGGTAGACCAATCATCTTAAGCTTGGTTTACCCATACATTTTCTCTTGAGAAATAACGATGTATTAGCTATAGATTACTTGGACTTTCAAAATATTCGACTAATAGGAATTAGACTTTTCACGGTCCAGACGATGACTATCAAAATAATGAAGGCATTAAACACTTTCTTCTTGCTTGTTTGGGATTATTCAGAACTACACCGGAACAACTCTTGATAATATCTAACACAAATGTTTTAGATCTCTTAGTAAACACGATACTTTTAGACTACTGAGTGTGAAGTTATGGTCTGCAAATTAATTTCACTTCGTTTTCGATATTTGGATGAAGATCATCCAATTTCATTGGTAATATTTGCTTCACTCGTAATGTGACTAAAATCCACCGATTACAGCTTCTCAGTAGAACGTTGCGATACCATATCTGAGTTATTCTCTATGGGAAAAATGATCTAAATCTGCAGCTACATTTATTTAGTTTTTCGTGTATCATGAAATTGTATTAACTGTATATAGAATCTAACTTTTTATAATCAATGTTCAATCCGGTACAAACGTGGATTAACAAGAAGCTTATTCAGAAGAATCTATCGAATTTGCACTAACGATGCAGTTGAGAGAGACGAGTAAATGTCTTTACTGAAGCACTGAAGAATGGCAGTTACTAACTTGAGTTTATAAAGCGTTGGTAGAGCAAAGATGTAATAAGAACTACTAAGTTCTCGGCATCCAAGAAGCGAGTCTATATTACTACACCATTAAGAGGTAACTCATATGGTCTTATGGTAGGACTCATCAACATCGAAAATTCTAGGTCTATGTTTCATAAAATACTCAAAAAGCATGTGACTAATTGCACCACAACTCATTCCATCTATCAGTTTACATGTATGTGCTGAAACACATAAATACGAGAAATAATCTCGATCTGCTGGTAAGGGTTGATGTATACAACTAATTGGCTATGAAATCGAATAAATCACAAGCATCAGACAAGATCACAGAATCGACAAATATCTTCCTCCACTAGGAATATCAAGTCAGCGTTTGTAGTGTTGTCCAGAATTGTTCAAGAGAATATACTAAGGTTTATCGAAGTGATGACTAAACGAAAACTGAAGCCACCGTTTTGTGCTCAAAATGCGTTGTGCAAATATATCACATAATTTTGAGGACGTTCATCATCTTATCGCAGTATCCAAGCTTAAAGAATAGCTAAACTAATACTGTTATTACTAATGAAGTAGGTGAAATGATTTTCATTTAAAATATTAAAGAACATTCATTAATCTACAATAATTCTTACTCATTCATTATAAATCTCCACGCTTCACGAATATGTTCCCATAGAAGTGTCTGGCCAATAGGATACAATGCCACAGATGAAAGTGCATCCAGTAAATCCTGAGGATCCTTTTGATTATTTTTTATGACCCATTCCAAATGTCTAAATTATCGATAACATGAAAAGTATTAGTCGATTTCAACAAAAGTATTTATTTGTATTTAATTTTGAATTATTCAGGTAATAGGAAGTAAACGAAGTAGGTAATCGAATATTTGAAAGAGATACAAATATTTTATTATTATTTAAGCAAAATGGTTATTCAAATTTTTTTGATTTGGAGCATGAACTGATCAATATTAAACAACCATTGAAAGCGTCGACGAACTGGACAGTGAACTGATGAGGAGTTCCAAACTTGGACGAAACAGACGTCCAGTACTTCCATGTATTCAACGGTAGCCTAACATTGATCAGTTCATGATGTCAATTAAGCAAAACTCAACAATCTCCACAATCCTATACTGGTATTCAAATTTTGCTCGGTTTGTCGATAAATGTCGTGTCAGATTGAAATCACACACAGTTTATAATTCATTTTTTGTCATTTTCTCTTGTTATTTGAACTCCAAACTTTGTTAGGCTAAATGAAAGGACATATATCATAACAAGTGGTTATTGTTACGGCGTTGCTATTTCAATATGATCATACACTAAACATTCTTTAAATGTTAGTTTGCTTCATTACATGTAATTTTAACCCATAATACCCCATATCGGTGACATATATAAATTTTAATATTATAAGCAAACTCGTTAGCTGGATTAATGAATGCTGACTGAATGGTCTGATGACAGAAAGCTAACATTAATCAATTGATTACTCATAGAACACTAAACCTCATATAATGAAATCGTCTTCCGACGTACTATCAAAGCACCTGAAAAAACAGCGATTACTAAAACCGATGAATTAAATTACATAAACACAAAACTATGAATGATCAAACGATATTGAGAGATATATATGGTGAAAATTACTGATAGCTTAATGATCATATAAATACAACAGCACGAAATATGTATTAGACAGTCAATATATCACGAAACAATCCATGTATTTTATTGACTCATATATGTTTACATATATTGTACTAGAACAGGAACCATTTATTTAATTTATTGGAAGCTGACAATCGAAAGCAACAACAACTGAAATGTAATATAACTCACAGTCTTACTATCCACATATCACGAGAACAAGACAATGCCTGTAAAATACTATTTTTCTCTTCCTCTTTAATATCCACTTCTAATAAACGTTGTTTTAGGAACTCCCATTCTTTTTGTCCACCGATTCTAATTGCTGTGCAATAAACAGCTGGCCTTAAACTTGGTGGGATCCTTAAACATAAAACGGATGAAAAATTAGAGGATAATGGATAGTACTACATGTAGAGTAAACAATATCACAAATTTTATTATAAAAAGAACTTTATTCGTTCAACGCGGAAATAAAACTGAACAAAATAATTAAGTTATTTGAAGCAGTCCACAAGTTAACAACTGATATACAAATTCCATAGATATGGATCAGTCAATACAAGTGAATGATATACAACTTGTTGGTCGCCAGTACCTTGCATTTAATAGATCCAAATCAGGACATGTCTAAGAATGTAATTTTTCTAAAATTCACTTAGTAATTATTTCAAAATCATAACAGTTCAATAGGTAACTTACAAATTTTGTGAAGGATTAAGCATCCAATTTCTGTAATATTCTGTAGCCATTTTAACGCATGAATGATGTTCAGCTTGACATGCTAGACGAGTTAATGTCAGGCGCAACATACTTAAATAAAAAACAAGCACAACTGGTGAAATAAATGAAGTTTCAACAATAGTTACATTCAATTGTTCTAATCAGTCGTCTAATCTGAATATAATAAACAATTAACTGGAATAATAAAACTAACATAAACACTCATCCCTTTATTTTGTTTATTTATCTTCATTTTATGAATGATGTGACATTGGATTCATATAGTATAAGAAAATTGTATGTTTTCTCAAATTTCACTGATCAGAGGAGGTAAATATTGAGTGAAATTTCTTCTCACACCATTTACGAATACACACAATGTGTTATCTTGACACACTTTTCATCTCACATCACATGTCTCTTACACACTAACGCGAATACCTACTCATAAGGTTGTATAACGTTGATTGGATGAACTAACTAGTATACAGTTAATCAGAGAACCAAATATACAACTGGTATGACCATGTTCGATAATTTTGATGTTAGATTATATTTCCTTGAAAAGCTTGTACGAGACTGCCATAGAATTAAATTTACAATATAGGCTGTCTACCTTCAGAATGAGCTGAATATTTTATCTCAACTATTTTTATTGGGTCAGGCTTGTAAACTGATAATGAGCAAGCTAAGATTGCAAACCTGACAAGTTTCTTTAAAATCCTCTTTTCCAAATATATCCTAAGATATTTAGCCCTAAAGAAATACTTCATTCATTGAGAGACAAATAAGTAAACTTACATTGTTTTGTTCATGAGACAAATCAAATCATAAAACCAGTATCATCACACAGAATAGTGTTTAAATACAAATGGGAAAGTATACAGGCAAGTATAAATATGATTACATATCGATATAAAACACCCCGTACGTTAGTGAAGGTAACTCCATGTCAGAATTATGAACAGTGAACGAATATGTTTAATATGATAATAGTGATAATATGGTTATTTGTCCGGCGAGACTATAATACATGGATGAACCGGATTTAAGATAACACATGTTCGATTTTGGCGCGAAATTCATTCACTCATTTGGCTTTGTACGAGTTTGGTATTATAGCTCATGTCGGTTAGTGATGAAAAGATAAAGTCGAATTCCTAACGAGAACATCTAAATGTAAATCCTAATTCTAATTCCTCACACTAATGTACAAGCCTTATTTACCCCAAGTAAGTAAGTAGACATTCCAAGGTCATGTTAGAGTTGTTATAAGGCTGTCCATAAACTATAGTCTCACCAACTTCTCTCATTCTATGGATTCTGTATCCAACATACTCCACTAAATCAGAATAAATAATATTCGTTTGCACTAGGCAACATATTTTCATAGACTCTAGGTGGTTATCATCTAATGAAATGCATACAGAACACAGTTTAAAAACATTTACGTAACCTACTGCTTCATATGATCTTTGTCTTCTTTCATTGTTGTCCAGTCCACTGATTTAAGAGGATCATCTACAAGCGTACGCAAATATGCTTGAAAAGCTCCATAACTCTCGTCCATGGCAAGCATACGGTCTAAATAAGATAGTGCTCGTCGAGTCGTTTCCCATACAACGTACTGATCTTCTTTTCTCAAATATTTTGTCAGATTTAAGTAGACATCGTATGAGACAGTAGCACGACTTTAAATATTTAATAATGAGAAAAGGTAGATTTTAGAAAAATCGTATACATGGTAAATTCACATAATTAAAGTATAATTTTGTACTGATGATACACTTGCAAACGAAATAGGTAATATAAATCTTTGTTAGGTCATTCATCAATGAAACCCTACGGTAGAAAAATCTTGCAACCACTAATTATATTCTTGTCGATCAATTAATTAATTCTAACTAGTTTTGTGTTTAGGTCAACTCAATACAGTTTAATTATGTCATACAATTTAACATGTATAGAAGTAAATTTTGTTCACATGTGGATTTTAATTACTAACCGGATGGTTCCAACGAATTTCCATTGGTTTCTATTTTATTAACGATTAATTCTGATTGAAAGTAGTCGTTACATTTTTGTTATGAAATTATTGTTTACTATTTACCGCTTACCAAGAAAAATAAACACAAGTTTACTCCTTATATACGACTATAACCTGATTAGTTTGATTTATTATTGTAGTAATTTAACAGGTATCATACTGAACCATAAGTAACTTAAACAAAACAAAATCAGTTTCAACAGAACTGTTAACGAACTTCTAACTCTTACAGAAACTGTTAACAATATAAAATCTTCATTTAAAAACATTAAAAAGTATTTTTACATTATTGAATCAGAAGAATCATCCAACGTTGATAAGTGTTAGCTGTTAGTTTTATGATGAAAATTGTGGTTTGTAACAAGGTTGTACAAGGTAGCAACAATGTGATTCACAGTGGATAAATTGCACGATAGTGATAAATTAACAAAAGAATTGCTTTCTGTCACTATATTGAAAACACAAACGGTCAGTGGACATCTGTAAATGATGTGCAAGTCGGTCAACAATGCACAAATAGAATTTAGTAAATTTACTTAACCATGTTATCATATACTCATAATAGTTCAACAAATACAGCCTTCATCACTTCTCGTCCATTAAACAGTAAACATCATAAAGCATTATGCATTTAAAATCAAATTACTAATAGTTTATCTAAGAAGAGACGATAAAGCCTTTTATATGCAACAGTATTTGAAGAAGATGAAAATAAATTCAAAGAAATCTTCCTTGTAAGTCCGAAAACAGTCACTTTTTCACACCTCTCATCTTTGAGGCACTTTTCTGACTATAACAGTATCCCTAATCTAAACTCTTTGGTTCACTTGAATGATACGAAATCATTATTTTATATTAATCCTAGCTGTTCCTTCTGATGAAAAATTTTAATTTAACATTTTACAATTATTGTTATTATCAAAACAGCTCCGATAGACTTTTTCCATTTTTGTATCATGATCATACTGTTTTAATCATCACCTTATAGAACTTCTCTGAAATATTATTATAGAAGGTGATCTTGTAGGGATTCGTGTTAGATATCTATTGTTTTCAATGTATCATATCGACTCAGTTGAAACTTACTGTTAGGTTAATAACGATAAGTGCAATACAATATTTGGTTACAGAGAAGGTTGCTGAAAATATATTCTCAAACATTCCTTATGTTAGTATTATCTGTTATTTATATTTCACACCTTTTGAATTCGGAAACTACTTAACTTATCCACGCATATATTCAATTCAATTATACCTTTAATGTATTTAATATAAAGTTCCTGGCCAACACAATAAAACTTTTTATAGATTTATATCTTCAAAGATCGTGTAACAAGAAGCTGTTCATTTAAATATGTAAATAATAAAATTTTAATTTCAATCGAATGCATACCATATGATATTATGTCAAACAATAAATATAGGTAAGTACACTTACTTTGCTAAGTTGAACAAGTCATCCAAAATTTGTGTTCTTGAATGAAGTGGAATAGCCTAATCATAGAAAATATCGAATCAATTAATTTTTTATTTAGTAAATACAAAGTGATTATCGGTAAAGTTGTGGAGATTGTTAAGTTTTTATTGTGACCATGAATCGGTCGATGTTATGGTGAATTGGTTCAAGTTAGATATTAACATCGTTGGATGCCACCTTAGTAGTCTAGAGGTTAAGCATTCGGGTCTCGCGTGCGGGATCGTACATGTGGACTACTAAGGAGTCCAATACTAAGAAGAAACGGTAGTCCAGTGCTTTCAAGTTTTCAATGATGGTCTAACATTGATTGATTCACGATCTCAATAAAAATAAAAATGATTGTTCACTATATGGCTAAAACGATTTCAAATATTACTTTGCTATAAATAAAATGTTATTAAGTCTAAATCATTATAATTATTGTGACGTCTATACGAGTTCAATTGGATAAACTGTTGACAGACAATTCACAATCATACGCTAGTTTATCAAAGTATTTATCTTTGTATAGACTTTGAAGGTGATCAATCTTAAGAATTTTTCAAATAACGGTTACTACTTACACGGTGGTCTTTATACAACTGTTCTGTCAATAGTTCCCAGTTATTGTCGGCATAATGAACACGATAAAATCCAGCTTGTTTAATGTTGAATAAATACCAAGAATTTTCTGCAACATCTAGTGTTTGGGTCATTGTCTCTGTTGAAATTAAAGTAAATATTTGTGGAAATGCTATGAAATTGCTGAATGTATATGTTCCTAAGTGAACATCATCGCATAAGAAGGAAAAGAGGTTAATGTATTATCATCAGTGTATGGAAAACCAAATAAATAATTTAACATGATCCAAATCTACGAAGGTTTAATGTTCAATTATATATACTAAAATAAATCAACATAATCTGAGAGCCATTTCAAACAACAGAGGACTTCATAGATATTTTATCCTTGTTCCAAACTTCTCAGCACTTAGTGCCCATGACACTATATGATAGAAAGCGGAGAACTTCTAAATCTCAGCCGCATTAGGAAATCTGTAGACCATTGACGTGAAATCTATCAGTTCACATTTTCACTTTCAACCAATCAAAAATACTATATGCTTGCTATTCAATTGCATGAGAGATATATGTTTTACTCTTAAATTCGATGGATTTCACTAAGTAAATGCTCATGCTGTGAAACCTTAAGATCCTGGATTCCATGGCATTTTGCGAACATGCTGACAAAATGCAGACTCTTCTGACCACCATAAGAAGAATGCAAGCATGTTCGGGATGCGATTCTCCCACTCAAAATGCGAATTGCTGCTTCAGGATTGAGTTGTATCGGCGTTTGAACTAATGATAGGGAAAGAAGTAGTTGAGCGTGTCGACTGCTTCACTTATCTTGGGAGTCTTATCAGTCTTTTTGGTCTGGTGTGTGACAAAATCTCAGCACGGATACAGAAGGCTCGACTAGCTTTTGCCAACTTGCGTCATTTATAGCGTAGGCGTGATATCCTTCTGCCAAACAAGGAACGAGTTTACTGCACAGCAGTTCGTTCCGTCCTACTTTATGGCAGTGAAACATGGCGGGTAAGAGTAGAGGATATTCGTAGGTTACTAGTATTCGATCATAGGTGTCTTCGAAACATTGCTCGTATATCCTGGAACCATCGAGTAAGTAATGTAGTTGTTAGGAAACTGGTACTAGGTGAGGATGGCAAATCAATTGATGACGTAGTGAAACTTCATCAGTTGCGATGGCTGGGACATGTGTTACGTATGCCCAACCACCGACTGCCTCGACGTGCGGTGTTCAGTGGCATACGAATAGGTTGGAAGAAAGCTAGGGGCGGCCAGACCAAAACATGGCACAAATCCATGAAGCCACTGACAAGTGGACTAAGTCATGTTGGTATGCGTAGACTACCTGGGAACCTGAATCCTCACAATGATAAAGATAATAATAATAAGTTTGGGACATAAAATGAACATTAATCAAATTACGTTACCATATTATAAAATTGATTATCAGCCAGTTGATAACCTTTTTGAGATATTTATTCAGCATCCACCCCTATCTACTATATCTGACTTAATTCATATTATTCTACATATTACACAATTTCTGATTCCTATTCCGTTAGTTTCTCTCGCTCTCTCACCCCATGTTGACCATATTTATTCTGATCATTTATCCCATAATTTCATTTCGCTTATAAACTGATTCAAGTTAACACCTCATATTAAACATCCCCAACATTAACGATCTGAATTGATTTTATATAACAAACAATTCTTGATTCACATGTTACAATTTTAAATGATGTACACTGCCCTAAACTTGGCCAATTTTATGGATTATTAATTTGGATTCATTATTGTAGAACCTGATGGGAAATTATTGAAAAGAATATTCTTCGTTCATACAATTGTGTTTCCAACCAATAATGTTCGCTTATTACAAAAATTTACCCGAAATTCGATTTTCAATATCTAATCCCCATATTACAATAGAATCTATAATGACAGTGTATGTAAAATATATAATAAAAATTGATATTTCATCGAATGTCTATGCCTCCAATATAAAGATTTAGATTATTAATTCCTCAATACAGCAAAGAAAAGTCACTCATCTTACTGGACATAAAAAGTTGCTACTCTACTCAAAAAATCTTTTAACTGATGTAGTTCAATCATAATATCTAGTTTAGACATCTTACTTAGTTATCACTATTGAGTGGTTTGAGTAAATACTTTCTTTATGTTAAAAAATGACAACATCACTCACATTAACAATATATTTAACTGGTTTACAAGTGACACAATTTTACTATTTATTTATCCTCTGAAGAAGTGACTTACACTAAGTCACGAAACGTCGAAAATCTATTTTAGTTCTACTCATTGGGATACTACAAACATTGTTTTTATTTACAATTCTACTATAGTTAAATAAGCGTTATAAAGAATAACTTTGTATTACATCATATTAACTAAATCCACTTAACGTTCATTTATGGCTTAAATTAATTTAATATTCAGTGTCAATTTGACCACTTATGTACATAGCTTCCGCGAACTTACTATTTTTCATAGTTATGATTCATGATCAAGATTCTAGAAACATTCATTATATTACTATGATTGATATTTCCAATCATCTAATTTACAATACTTAACTTCCTAGGTTATTCCACCTACCCATATTTAATTCATTAGTATATATTACTACAGTACAATTCTCAATTAGTACTTATAATAAGTAAATATATACAAAAACGAGGTAAAGAAAACAATGACTTGCTGTTCATCATCCAAATGACATCTGTTTCATCCCAGTTAATAGTCTTTGCTGATCCATAAGTCAATGGTATTTTCCATGTAAAGCTAAAAGTAAAAGGATCAATTAATTTAACTTAATGTTACATAAGTATTTTTTTTCTAAATCATTACTGAGTGCTTAATAGCTGTATGGATAGATGGATTAAACTGTGGTGTATACTATTTATGTATATAAGTAGCATGTAGCACCAATCGGAAGTGGAATGCATGCCAGCAGAACACTGGGGAGATCCAATTGAAGAAAACAGAAAGGGGAAACGAAAACGATTATGATAACAACGGAATTGAAATATTCATAAAGCATGTAAAGGACAACTGAAGAAGGATGTGTAAATCATGTATTTGATGCATGGTTTTCATATTTTACCAAGATATTTTGTAATATTGTATTGAATTATAAATTGATCTTTCTCACCTGGGCCTTTGATCACTACAAAACCACTAAAGTAAACGATAAAAATGTTTTGTATTCATGATGTTTTACTCCGAAAATTACTCAATTAATCACTTGCAGGCTATTAAATCAGGTTAATAGTACTGAATATTAAAGTATATTGACTATAAACATGACTTCAGACTTCGTATCAGGCATTCGATAGTCTTTAGATCATTACGTGTAATTTATTTCATGATACTCGTGTACGTACATACGTATAATATACATATATCATATTCGTTGATATAGCCATTATGTCACAAGTTATTTAAAATGAATAGATTAGGCTAGAAATGGAATCTAGCTGATGAATCCCAAATAGGACGAAGGTTGCATGCTAGATTTCACTTCTAGCCACAATCCATCGATTCTAAACATATAATATAATTTAAATTAGAACAGTATAAGAAATGCTTTAAAACTTTTAAATCATTCTAATGAAGAAATACAATAAAACTAGTTTACAACATAATCATATGACATATTATTGTACTTCATTTATTTAGATAGGTAACATGTATTGCTTGTTTGAATTAGGAAAGCTTTGTTTATAGCTTTCTATACATGAGTAGATTCATTAATTATATCAAAGTAAACATAAAACAAATGATCCCTGTGTTCTTGTGATATTTAGAAGTGTTACTACTTATTATGCAATAAAATCATATGTAATTTTCAACAAATTTAATTATTCTACTAATAAAGGTTCTCCTGTACACCTGATACGATTATCAGAATTGAAAAATACCATTCACTTACTGAAACTACTACAGAGATATAATATGTCTATGAACAATTGAAATTTAACACTCCTTAATCATATACAACATATGAGTTTTCCATGAATGTACTTATGTTCAGCAATATGTATATATCTATATCAATATATATAAACGAATAAGCTTAAAGTACTGTTTTGTGTCTTGTGTCACATGTTCAGACAAATATTGTAATACCAAATCTTCAAGTTCCTAACATCATTTTAAAACCCCACTGTAGGCTATCCTTCCTTAGTACGTGCATAAACAAACAGGCTGAAAGTCTATTGATCCGACTTCTTTCTTTAAAACTCTTTTAACATTGTTTTTAGTAGACTTCAATATGGATCAAGCGAATGAATTAGCTGAAACTATTTTCTACTGAATGCTATTGGTTTTATCAAACTTCAGAATAATCAGTGTATGTATTAGGGATATATGTTCAATAGAACAAAATTATGTTGACTTTTTTCAATGTCTAATAAGACTTTACTTAGTTTTTAAATGTTAGATTGATTAATAGTAGTAAAGAATGGTTGGTAACACATGACATAAGTGGAAAATCCAAGTTAAACATTGATATATTAGAGAAAGATAGTGAACACTAACTCTAACATTAACAATACTACTCTCCCAACTTAATACTAGTAAAAATATTACATCTAAAACAACTTTCTGTTTCACTATCATTATTACTATTATTATTATTATTATTATTATTATTATTACTATTATAGTTGTTGATGTAATAACAAGTCAGCGTAAATCGGGTAACACTTGGAAACATACAATTACATTCTAATCGTTTGCTATCGATTGAAATAGAAAACTGGGGATTTATTACTCATTATAACACTTGTAATACTAAGAAAATGCATTGTGGTTAATATAATTAATGATCTAATAAACATAATGTACATAATAAAAATGACTAATAGTATAAATCATATTATCTCGTAAAATTGTAAACCATTTAGATAAACGAACTAAGTAACTAATGAATCACAAATGATTGTTTCTGTGAATACAAACTAATCTGATTCGGAGAAGAAAAAACCTTTACAAAATATCTTAAACGAATATGGCAATAAATAATGATAAATGCAGGCTTATGAAATTTGGTTCGTTCTATTTCATCGAGTCGTGTGGTTTAGCAATGTTTTGCCTGGCAACAAAACTTACTAATCAATCATACCATAAAATAATATTAAGGTGGCCAGTGTGACTAGTAGCAGTTATACAGGATTAACAGCATTCGAACACTAATCAATCTGTAAAACACTAGTTTCACAAAGTTGAATACTGTCCATCGGGTTATTGATTGTTTTAAAAACAATTCTGGGCAATGATTCACTGGCGGGTAAAATATAACAGAATAGTTCAAATAGGGCTAATTGGAATAAGTCTTCCCACTACTTTTACTCCTTAAAGACACAAATATCCTTTAGTTGGTAAAACAATAGTTAGAATACATGATATTATTCAACCTACTTGTATGGTGAGGGATTTTTTGGCGATTTAGAATCCTGTGGCTCTAAGTAATGTTTTTGTACAAATTGAAATTGGCCATCAGCATTTCTTTGAATGATTACTAATGGGTAATTCATCTGTTTCATCCACGTATCCATTACGGCTTTAACATTCACATCTTTACCTGCAAGTTTTGCTGCCTGAAATTGAAATAAATATTTCAGCAATATTTTAGAATAAATATTCCATGGAAATAACACTGACAGTGGTAGAATATTTCTGCATTGTTATAATACAATATCTTTGATGGCGGACGTAGATTGTATTTATTCTGCAAATTTTGACTACTAATAACATATAAGTATACATACATTCTTTTACACATTGTTCACATTTTATCGACTCATACTTTTCTAATAAAAAAAATGAATACGTTTTCAATATAGATCTAATTATTAAAATTATAAATTCTTTGATAATTCTAACTTTATTGGTTGAGATCATGAGTCATTTGAAGTCAGACAAAGATGGAAAACCTGGAAGCACTCCAAGATAGTTTTGTCCTAGCATGGGACTCCTCGGCAATGCACACCAACGATCCCACCTCGCGAGACGGTAACCCAGAACCTATCGGTCTCGCGCATGGATGCCTAACCTCTAGACCATTGAGCCGGCATCCAATCGTGTTAATGTCTAACTTCAACTAATCCACGAAATTGAGCGACACATTCACTATTGTTTTTAGTGAGTTACTACCTCACAACAGATCTGGTTGAACTCCACTAGTCACTGCTTCTCATTGGAACTCCAAGAGTGTTCACTGCTTAGAAGTCTCACGGTAGGACGGAACGGCTCTCCGGTGCTTCCAGTTATCCCATGGTGGTCTAGCTTCAACTGACTCATGATCTCAACTATTGAAATTTTAATTTTGTTTATTACCCTAAAGAATTTCAGATAACAATGCTGAACAGAATGATGGAATTGTTTGAATTTCAACTCCTAAGATTACCTGAAATATAATTTGTCCAAGTGATATACTAGATACTTCAATTCTAGTATAAACACGTATTTATTCCAAACCCCGAATAATAACTGTACTACCTAGTGTAGCTTCAATATTCAACAAAATTCAAGTTAACTACGTAATGAATATTGATCAGTAGTTGGAATTATTTCTGAACATGCAAACCATTCACCATGAAACATATATACTATTTCATTTAATAATTTAAACATTGAACTGATCGTTCCCGTGTTTCATTAAATCATAATAGTCAGAAGAACACAGATAATTAGATAGTTCTGTTGATCTGACAATTAATTTCTCAACAATTACTTACTTACGCCTGTTACTCCTAATGGAGCATAGGCCGCCAACCAACTCTGTCCTCGGCCTTCCTTCCCAGTCCTATCCGATTTTTGTTCATTCTTCTCATGTCGGTCTCCATTTCTCGACGTAATGTGGTCTTTGGACTTCTTCTCATCCTTTGGCCTTCAGGATTCCAAGTGAGGGCTTACCTTGTGACGCAGTTTGGTGCTTTCCTCAATGTGTGTCCTATCCACTCCCAGCGCTTCCTCCTGATTTCTTCCACCACTACGATCTGCTTAGTTCTCTTCCATACTAGGTTGTTGCTGAAAGAGTCTGGCCAACGGATCCAAAGTATTTTGCGTAGACAACTGTTAACAAACACTTGTATCTTCTGTATGATGGTTGTGGTAGTTCTCCAGGTTTCCGCCCTAAACAGGAGAACTGTCTTGACATTTGTATTGAGAATTCTGAATTTGGTGTTGGTTGACAGTTGTTTTGAGTTCCAGAAGTTCTTCAGTCGTAAATATGCTACTCGAATTTCTCACCAACGCATGCTTATAAATTCTTCTTGGTTTTATAGGTCAGACTATCAATCCTCATCGCTCATTCAAATGATCAGCATTTTCTAATTATGCTTAATTTCCAATGTGCTTTCACTTTTATTTATTATGATCATCACGTACCCACTCATTACCTCCCTGGAAAATTCCATAATCGTTTATTCTCCATAACAAAGTTCTTCAAGAACTATGGCTTACCATTACATATTCACACGTACATTAAATATTTAAATAAATTACATTCCCCAGCTTTACTCATGTTCGATGACCTCAAGTGTGATTCTGCTTAGCTATCACCTTCTTTTAAACCTCGGTTTTTAAACGATTAAGTACAATAAGATGTAAATTTAATTATCACCAATTATTTACCAGAACCGTCAACGGTATAAATAATAAGTGTGAATGATAATTTGCATGAATCAAATTAACAAGGTGAAGGTGTTAGTATCTAAATGAAATATAACATACACCCGATTGATAGTAAACTATATTATCGCATCCAATCTAATTTCCGTATACGTGACACAGAAGAAATTATCATCATCATAAAACTGGTATATGTGACTTAATTTAAGCTGAATAAGAATAATGACACTTAGTAAACATACTTCTTTTTATTATTCGGTAATATACTACAAGAAAATAAAGTATATTGTTATATGAAAAGTTTGCCATATTGTATGAAAATCATTAACACAAATTTTACATATAGTAGATTGTAAACCAACTTGACAAGAAATATCAAATTTCAGTCGGTATAGATAAATGACATAAGTGATCCAACGAGATCAAAATTTATCAATCATATTATTGTTAGGTGAAAGAATAAATTCCATAGTGAATAAAATCAGTGGCATACCTCAGTGAGCGCCCTCCACAAATCTTCATGAACAGTATTTTTATATTTGTTTTGATATAGATAATTCTGTAACAAAAATAATGTTATAGAAACAATCATCATAAATATGCTATATATATATATATATCAGAAGTGGTTTGTGGAGATTTTGAAATTTCACAGATTGAAATCATGAGTCAGTTGAAGGTAGACCATCATGGGAAACCTGGAAGCACTGGACGGCCGTTTTGTCCTAGTATGGGACTCCTCCATGTTTTCTATGTTGGTCTAGCTTCAATTTACTCATGACTTCAACCTGTGAAATATATGTATATATATTCAGAAATTCCACTCATCTTTCATGTATTTCTCATCTAAATATAGGATCAACAAATTCAGTCTTGATCTCATGTTATTTCACAATTTCATACAAACTTCATTTTAATTTCTGTCGAACAACTAAGGTCTGAGTAATAACTGATGAGTTGATCATCATCATCAACATCAACATCGGCAGCAGCAGCAGTATAGTTTTTTAATTCACGTTGACTGGATCACATATATCTGGTAATTGGTTTTAAAGATTTCCGTCAAAAATATTTCTCATAAGAGATCTGATTTTTCGTTAAATACCTTTCTATTTTATTTTACAGTTTGTATGAAATTGTGAAATAACTAGAGATCAAGACTGAATTTGTTGATTCTATATTTAGATGAGAAATACATGAAAAATGTGTGGAATTTCTGAATATATTTTTATTATCAAAACGGAGTAATCAAAAATTTGATAAGGACTTTTCAGTGTTGGTGTTTAAACATAATAAGGAATTTTATCAATGAAAGTATAACTGTTTATGATGTATTATAAAGCAATAAAACAGATTAAAATGTATTCGAAACTCTTATATAGTCTGAAACGTTTGTGATCATTTGCGACAGTTTTGTTATGACAGTCTGATTCGACTATGGAAATATTGAATTTTTGTCTCTGTATACCTCACTGTCAGATATATTTCATATGATCTGTGTTTATCAACTACGTATTCCATTTATCCTTGAAGACAGAATGCATAAGTCATTGACAAAATCAATGTATTTCAAAGAGTATGTGTATCATGTTTGGTCGTTGTTGTTCCAGTAAATTCTACGTAAGTTAGTACAAACTTCTCGATTTCCGTGACGTGACTTTTATATAGTTGAAAATTACTACTTTTGAATTTTACATGATACCAGTTATAGATGATAAACTGATTTCTTCTTCATGTGAGAATATGGATTCTAAACTTTTGTAAGTATATATATATATATATCTGATTCAAAACATTTTCACTATGGCTAGACTTTGTACCATTTTTCAGTTGTACTGAATATTTGGATGTGAAACTGATGACCTTTGTAGTGAACGTCTATATTTCATAACAATCTATTGTTTACTTATTTAATTCTGCCTAGGATGGTCTGACAGAAAGTATATTGGATATTTAATTGTTATTAAATAAGCATTAGTGAGAGTTTAGCGTAAACGTACTTTCTATTCCCTTTTTGTTCAATCGAAACGTGTTCTTGCTAAATACACGATTTATTCCCTTATCCTGTTTAACGTTAGTTCATTTAAGTTAGTTTATCTCTGAAGAAGTGATTTGTTCCAAGTTGCAGAGCATTAAAAGCTCAATCGACTACTCATTAGGACAAGTACATCACTTCTTAATTCAAATCACTAAATAATTGCAGGATCGAATGGCTACTTCTTAGTAGAATGGGACTCCACAATAGTTTAAAAGCCTCTCTACTAAGAATAAACATATGTTTACCAATAACGAATTTCAAGAATTAAATTCCTGAGTTTTAGTAAGTTGCTGTGATCACTGAAATTCAACCTAGTCGGTTTCCATTCAATGACACTGGGTGATTTTCGATCATTATTGAAGTTAGAAGTTTAAACCATCAGGTACAAACTTGGTCGTCTGAATGTTAATAGCTTATTGAGAAGCCTCATGTTCCGATCTCTGATCATTTAATGTCAAGAATGCGAGTTTAGATGGTTCATATGTTCAAACAAAACAGGTGTTTAATGTTTCGAGGTTTACGATTGTTATCTAGCCATAGTCAGAGAATAGTACGAATCCACAAAAACGAACGATGTCCACAAATCCCCTTTGTTATTAGAACTTAGAAATTTATTATTCTAATTACATTACTATTACATATTGTTAAATTAAAGCAGTTATTAAATGGGTAATTTAATAATCACTGGCTATTATTGCTGTTTTTTCTTCTTTTACTGATAAAAGGATAAGTAGCACCTGCAGATAAATCTTATTTTACCAAAGAATTTACTGAATATAAAAAATGTAATAATGGTTTTTGAAATCCAGTACACATTTTGCTTAAAACCATTTCTATGAATGTTTTGACTATTGGTGGTTATAAAAAGAAAGAATTGATAATTTAGTGAGGTAAATGAACTTTTCCGAAGAGCCTTTTCTTTTACTTTAATGGGTCTTGTTAGTGAATATGTTTGTACTATATCATAACGTATATGGAATGAGTTAATACCTAATAGACTAAATTTATGAAAATCATTACAATGTTTTATTGAAACTGAAATTAGAACAATCTTTCGTCTTGATATACATTCAGGTATAAATTAATAGAAACTAAGAACAATGAAGAAACTTATTTCCTTTGATTTAAATATTTTATTATCTTAGTAAATTTGTCTGAATGAGTAGATAACTTTACTACTACCAACATCAATGACTCACTAACTAAAGATAATTATTAGTCTATTTAAACAAGTGTTCATAAATGTCGTTTACAAATGAAATGAGAAAGTATAAGTAATTTACTGTAATACTTTAAGATGGTGGTAGGAGGTAGTTAACAAGAAATCCTGTAGGGTACATGAAATGTGGAGTCACCCAGACTGGTAGCCACATTGCAACTCGGTCAAAAAGATTTGATCTACACTAAGAAGGAAATGACATACATGACAATGATTGCCACCCAGTGATCGATCAATTGTAAACTGTAATACTTTAGAGAATTGTGGTGTTTATATGAACTAATTATTTCTTTGTACGTAATGCCCGCCTGATTTTGAATTCCAAATATAATACGTTCGTAATATTTGGTCTAAATTGCGTTATTTCTGGGATTCCTAGTTCGCGTAATAATTTAAATACTTCTAATACTTCTAATTAACAATATAACGAAAAATATATTTACTCAGTTGTTCTCAATTCGCTAAAGCAGATGTAATACTGTTTGTTTGAATACAATCACTAAAGTGTCATATAATGTTATAATAAAATGAACTTTAAAAAGAAAACTAAATGAGGATTGTTAATTAACTTCAACATACTTTTACACCTGCACGAAATGTGTTTCGACCCATAAATGACTCCATCATTCTTAAAACGGACGCACCCTGAAAAATAGTATATCACATGATTAATAACAACTAATTATAAATTGTATATAGAGTGACAACTACTTTACAATTGTTATAACATACGATAGAAATTTAAGATAAGGATTTAAGTAAACAAATTTCACAACAACACAAAACTTCAAGTCACTGTAACAAAATAGATTTTAGCATACATAAATTACGAAACATCCACTAGATTACTTTGTGAGTATGAATAGTGTATGGAAATCACCGAAATTTTATAAATCTGATTTTATTTTTATTAAAAAAAATATTGAAAAAACTTGCCTTATTATAAGAAATTGGATCGAAAATTTCATTAATTTCATTTGGATAGTAAACAGGTTGTATAACTGGCCGAGATGTCGCTAACGAATCACTAATCAATACTTTCTGTATATCATCCAGAAGAAATTGTTCATCCTTTATGTTTAATATAAAGTAAATTACAATCGCTTATTAAATATATCATTATAAATAAACTGAAAGACATTCATTTAGATATTGTCCATTCTTTCAAGATACGTATTCGAATATTCTGAATAACTAGATTACATAACTTCACAGAATCAATATAGGTGTCTACTAGTTTCCGTCTATTTTAAATATATTCAATAGAATCCATGTTATAATTAAATAAGGAAATTCGATTGATGTGTATCATCTAGAGAATCACTGAACACTTAGGATTTTTGTTTTACTTACGATCAACTTCACTTGATAGACAGATTAGTAATCCTTTACATCTTAGTGTGTCATCAGGATGTTGATATGAGTTTCAGTTTGTTAGAAGGAGAGAGAATATTTAATTGCTTCAGTGAGCATTTTTTCAAACTAATAATACTTCAAACTCAATTGATATTGTTGACTTGAATCATCACATTGATGTTTAGCACTGCAATTGATCAGTCACTCATTGGCATATGTACATCATGTGCAGACTGACTCGATTTTGCCTTAGTTCACGAGGATTATAAACAAAGATGGATAATGTCTAGTAGTGGAATCTAGGACGTGTGTTCTGTTCTCTTTGGTACTCGTTAGTTGGATGTACTTATATCCCAGATTTGATGTTCCCTCTGGGACACGCACCCACTACTGTTTGCTTCAAATACCATCGCATTATCCACTTAGCTACTGAGTCCTGATAGCCACCTGCTTGTGCGTTGGGGTACATTTTAAATTCAATTAACCTCTCAATGCAGAGTTGATAACAATTTAGTGTGTACGATGTAAGGTTTCACCGCTTCAGTCGGATTACTATGACAATTTTCTAATAAAAATGTTGACAGCTCACTTCTTTTTTCTTATTTGACAATTGTAATACTTATACCTTAGTATGTAAATAGTTATAAATTTTAAATGATTGTACATTAGTATGAAAATGCTGAAGATCTCAAAAACATTAGAATACAATAAAAAAACGGTTTGCCACATTTCACTGAACATAATAGCTTTGAAGAATAAGGCTACAGATCAACTAAAATATGATATCAACTGATGATGTCAATTATATATCAATTACTCGGGTTGATATTTTTTAAAATTTTATTTCATGATCGATTCCCTTTTTTATACCAAGGACTTAAGGAACACGAAAGGAGTTATTGAACAATGATTAATTCGTATAAAATAAATACAACATACCATTCCCCATTCTGGATGAACATGATCCACTCCAATATATTCAGCGAAACTTGCGAAACCTTCATTTAACCATAGATCGTCCCACCAATTCAAAGTAACTAAATTTCCAAACCACTAAAAATATAAATGTAAAAATATATCCATATCCTACAATTTAACAGCTGTTTTGAAATATCTAATTAATCATTCTATTAATAAAAACTCTGTAGATTTGACTATTTTATTCATAAATACGACATTGGTCTACTTTATATACTGAAATAAGGAAATTTTTTGTTCGTTTGAATTGTTGGTTTTGTTCGTCCCAGTATAAACATCAAAGTGATGATAAGTATATTTTGTAAAGTTACTTAAAAAAAACTAGGATTACTCTTCATGTTATAAATAAGTAAATAAACTAAATGTCGGTATAATACTGTCAAAATGACCTACATCAGAATAACACAATATTTATATCAGTAAATCAACTGGTAAAAATATTCTAGTTAAGTATATTTGTAGACATCAAAGCTTTTACATGAAGCAAAACATGTGATAGTAGAAGGGTACTATTCATCTACAAACGGACTGTATAAAACACAGATTATTCAATAGGTATATCCATCATCTGGGTACAAGGTAAAATATATTTTGTAGTAGTAGTAGTAGTAGTAGTAGTAGTAGTAGTAGTAGTAGTAGTAGTAGTAGTAGTAGTAGTAGTAGTAGTAGTAGTAGTAGTAGTAGTAGTAGTAGTAGTAGTAGTAGTAGTAGTAGTAGTAGTAGTAGTAGTAGTAGTAGTAGTAGTAGTAGTAGTAGTAGTAGTAGTAGTAGTAGTAGTAGTAGTAGTAGTAGTAGTAGTAGTAGTAGTAGTAGTAGTAGTAGTAGTAGTAGTAGTAGTAGTAGTAGTAGTAGTAGTAGTAGTAGTAGTAGTAGTAGTAGTAGTAGTAGTAGTAGTAGTAGTAGTAGTAGTAGTAGTAGTAGTAGTAGTAGTAGTAGTAGTAGTAGTAGTAGTAGTAGTAGTAGTAGTAGTAGTAGTAGTAGTAGTAGTAGTAGTAGTAGTAGTAGTAGAAAGAAGCATATGTTTATCAAATATAATACTCAGCTAATTTACAGACATCTTTTTAATAAAACGTAGATTATCATTGATTAATTATTTGTATACATTTCTTAAATAATATACATAATATTTTATTAAGCTTCTTATATTCTCTTTAAAATTAATTATTGTAATGATACGTTCAAAATTTTGTTTATTTGTCATACATTACCTGATGAGCGACTTCATGTGAAATAACCGTCGCCACTTTTTGTTGAGTAGCTGCTGTTCCAAATTCAGGATCCCATAACATTGTTGCTTCTCTATATATCATAAGACCCCAATTCTCCATTGCTCCAGCAGCAAAATCAGGCACCGCTACCATATCTGATAATTAAAGATGAAAAAGATAAATTTACTAGTATAATTTATGTAAACGTTTAGTAAGTGAAAAATAGGCTCTTTTATCGTTGACTTCTTTCAATATCATTTTTACATATCTAGTATAGTGTTTAATTAGTTTTCGCCTATATTACTCAACCAACGCCTACAGAAGAAATGTCGTTAAAGTTATATAATAGATAGAGATAATACTAAAATGTAAAAATAAATAGGTTAAAAAATGCTCCACTTTAAAATGATGTAATGAAGTTATCTACCTCAGGGCAGTTAAACTACCGTACACTATAAGTTCATTCATAAAAACTGGCACATTAAAACTCTAGTCACTGAAGTGTACTAGAAGTGTGAGATTTCAAATTAATTAATTTAGATTAAACAATCTTATGTTAAAACTCCACCTAGAGCAGTGCTAGGGTTACTGTTAGTTTAAAGTCCAGATAAAGTCGGGCTGTTGGGCATTGGTTTAGTAATTCCATTCCTTTATAAATGCACCTAACTAAAATAACGCTAATCAGAAAAAATAATTGAAACTATATAAACATACAGTCATTTAACTTCATGAAAACAATAAATCTTTTTATTGATACAAAACCGGTACTCTTTGATAAACATTTTGGTATTAATCATTTGATTTTTATCATAATATGAATGTGATTTATAGAAGGGATTGTCGTTGTATATGAATATTCCAAAGAATAAACCAGCCTTACTAATAATAATAAATGATAGTGTAAGCAAAATTTCAGCTAATACTCTATTTCCTGTATGTGTGGTGTCGGTTATTATTTCAAGCCCATATACCTTATTATAGCTTTCAGACAGCCCATTCTATTCATTCTACTTGAGTCGCATTCTGACCTTGTTAGTTATTCCCTTATCAATCTTGACTGTTTTTATATGAGCGCGTATGTGTGTGTACATTTCTTATCCCATTACTCATCACATGTCTGTAACTTACTTTTGTGTAACCATATTGATTAACGCTTAGTTAAATGGGAGTTGGCTTACCCGCCATCTCCACTGGTCGTCGTTTCTCTTCTCTCCATTCATTTCGCGTCATATTCAAAACATATGTATTCAAAAGTCCATTCTCGTCATTTTACTTACTTTATTCCGTTATTGACTAACGCGATTGAAGTCGATGATCATATACGAGGATAGGTGATAACAAACGTTCATTACAATCATCTTAAAGTCAGAACTCAAGCCACTAAAGTGGAGAGCCCTTTCGACAACATCGTTCGTTCTAAATGACGATTAAATAACGGGCGTCCACAAAATATGATTAGAATATCACATGCAATAAATATTCAAGTATATTAAAACTGTTCAGCAGAAACAGATCCTATATATATATATATATATATATATATATATATATATATATATATATATATATATACTACTTATAAAAATGGTTCATCTATTCTGTATAAAATTATAAAACACTGACCTGTTTTTCTAAGTGGATAAGGAAGTTCAAAATATTCTTCAAAAAATCCAATAATTTTCTTCCCTGTTTCAAGAGCATATTTGGCTGAATTAATTTTATCTGATCTTGTCCATACAGTAAACTTTATTGTTTATATTTGAAAAAGAAAAACACAACAACAACAACAACAACAAATGTGTAATTAATAACCATCTTTTTAAAAAAAGAAAATTACATAAACAGAACAAAACACAATGAATATTAATAGGAAACAATTATTTATTTATTTATTTATTTATTTATTTGTTTATTTGTTTATAAAGTTACAATGGTAATTTATTTACTACAATTTACTTAACTGTATTGTATTGTATTTCCAATACGTTTGTTTTTAATATGACTTTACTTCATAGAAGCAAACATTTTAAACATTTTATAATGTGAATGAATTGAATGTTTACAAAAAAATTATAATAAATACATTATTTCTAATTCCAGAATAAAACATACTGTGGTGCGTGCTACTTATGTTGATATAAGTAGTATATGACGTGAGTCAGGAATGTAATGTCTGGCAGCAGAAGATGGGGAAGATCAAGAAAGGAAGAGTAGGAATAGAAAGCACTTAGTATGGAAATGTAAGAACAATGAAGTTCGAGACAATTATTGGAAACTTTGCAAATTAAGTATTATAGTATGGTTTTTCTATTTGATCAAGTGACTCTGTAATTCGATTGTTCTCACCTGTGTTCTACTTCACTGCAATAGTACTGATTAATAGTATTCTGAAATTTTCATTTATATAAAGTGTGAAAACCTGTGAATTCCTTCATAGAATTTTCATTAAATAATAAGACTGTAATGAATGAAAACATAGATTGAGGAAACTTAAAGTATTTTAATACTAGATTACAGAGTTGTTTTATCAGATATGAAAAGTACACGTTCAGTACTTCATTTGAAAATCTTTCATCAATTGATTCAAATTTCTATGTTCCCATTTTCTTCGGTTCGATCATCTCAACTTCCTACTGCTAAATTTTCCACATTGGATTGGTGTTACACATTATTTATGTTGACAGATATAAGTAGCATACACCAAGATACATTCTGATATGAATTATCATGTTCAAATGTACTACAAACTCTAAGTTATTTTTTGTATACATATATATCTGACTAACTATACACCCACCTATCAATCCACCCATTTCAGTGGAAAATTAAAACTAGAATAATGTATAACGTATATTTGCTTGCTATGTATAAGGAAAGATGTGTTACATGATAGTTTTAAAAATAATGAGGAGAGAAGGATTAGCTTTTAAATCATTAAACATTCAATTGACAGACTATGTCATATACTAAATTCAGGGTAATTTATAAGATCTATCATAAAATAATAAATTATATTCATTTTCATTTCCTTAAAATAAAAAATGATTTACCTAACCGTTACAACAATCTCGAGTTTTTGTTGTTTTTGTTTTTTTCTTACTAAAAAGCCCCCTCATTCTTAAATCGACTTTATATATTCTTAAAACATTTCATTCCCAATATTTTATTCACTAAACAAAATCCCTTAGAATTCAGTTTACTTGTTTACGTTACTGCAATGTTAATTTATGAGTTTTATACTTGTTTTCTAAGTATTTATGTTTCATTGACCTTAAGTAGACTTTTTTGATTTTACTCATCTTATATGATTTTGTTTTAGAACCTTATGCGTCGTCTATATTTCATAATAAAATTTATCCTTTAAAATTATACATACATTTATATATAGCACTATAGTATGCTGATTTTTGTCCAACTCACCGTTTGATGAACTACATACCTATAAGTGTATCAAACACAAGTTGTCATTTAGGACATTAAATTATAATAGATTCTAAACTCCTGGTGAAAAACCTAATGAAGTCATGTTATTCTATTAAAACCTTTACCTTCGATCCGTTTCGAGTAGGAAGTTATCATGAAGAGAGGCTATAATTTATGGACGAATCAATCAGGTTTAGGATAAGAGTTCTTGGGTTTTGGTGTGAAATTTACTCACCCATTTGGCCAAATAGCGTTTTGGCATTTCAGCTGTCAGTTCGCGATGAAAAATCGTAAATCCAATTCCTAATTCTTGTTTATATCATTACTAATGTTTGAATTCATGTGTAAGTGAATATTAATTTTGAAATTCTGTTGTTAGTTATTATGAGATATATTATTCCATAATACTGTTTCTAGGAACCAATCTCTAACTTTATGATTCATTCATTTATGTGCGTTTAAATTTTCATCATCAATTCCAAATAGAATCATCCAATTAACTGACAATAGGCATAAAGTTTTATCAGTAACCGATAATAATTTACATTTGCATATAGTTTAGTTTATTAAAAGGACGTTCCAATATATTCTTACTTAAAATTATAGTTACATGGCAATGAATAATTTTTGATCAACCCATTAGCTAAGTAAATTTGAATTAATGTTGAATTGTACTACATAAAAGCAATCCTGAGGATAATTGGGTACCTTTATGTAAACGGAATATACTCATTGAGATATGAACTAAGAAATATTGTCAGAAGAGGGCTTTGTGGAGATTTTAGTAATTTAATAGTTAAATACTCCACAAAATCATCTGATAATAATCATCATGTGCTTACTAGTAACTGGCTTCAAGAGATATATTTTTGGAGTTCTAGTGAGAAGTAGTGACCAGTAGAGTTTAAACCAGGTCTGTTGTGCGACAGTAACTCACTGATCACAATGGTGTAGTGTGGTGCAATTTCGTGAATTATTTGAAGTCAGACATTAACACTGTTGGATGCCGGCTCAGTGGTCTAGATGTTTAGCGTTCGCGCGCGAGACCAATAGGTCCTGGGTTCGAATCCCGCGAAGCGAGACAGTGGATGCCCATTGATGAGAAGTCCCACAATAAGACGAAACGGCCTTGGAGTGATTCCATGTTATCCATGGTCATCTAGCTTCAACTGACTCATAAATTCGACTACTATGAAATATTGGTTCAGCGGTGAGTTCCATTTTTGACGAATTCATTTTCAAAGCTATACGATCGTAAATATATCCAAAATGATACTAATGACAATAATATTAATAATACAAAACAGAAATGTTTGCTGGTCGGCGGCCTATGCTCCATCGGGAGTAACAGACGTAAGTATGTAAGCAAGTAAGTAAGTTCTACGCTATTATCATTCTTCCTAAATTCATTCAATTTTATGAATAATAAATAAAAATTTAAAAAGATTATCAAATTTTAATGGAATTGTTTTAAATTATAAATGAGTTAAATGAATAAATTATATTCAATTTCAACATACATTTCTTCCTTTAGAATCAATACCACGAATTGATGCGAATTGTGAAACTACAAATGCTAATAAATATGTTGACATATTAACACTTGGTTCATATTTATCAAGATACCAATTATCATGAAGTTCTTCAGTACTTTCTAAAGCCATATTTGATAGTGAATGATAATCTTTTTGACGTATCAGGCTAACCTGTATAAACCGTTTGTGAAAAAAAAAACAAAAGAGAAATGAATGAAGCAATTCAAATTGGCATATTCAGTTGCCATTGAACTTGTTTACAAATAATTTATATTCATTATTGGAAATATTAAACTGGAATAAAAAAAATTGAACTAGATTCATTTGGTGTTGTTTGCTTGTATATTTGAAGCAAACAGTAGTGGGTGCGTGTCCCAGAGGGAACATCAAATCTGGGATATAATTACATCCAACTAACGAGTACCAAAGAGAACAGAACACACGTCCTAGATTCCACTACTAGACATTATCCATCTTTGTTTATAATCCTCGTGAACTAAGGCAATATCGAGTCAGTCTGCACATGATGCACATATGCCAATGAGTGACTGATCAATTGCAGTGCTAAACATCAATGTGATGATTCAAGTCAACAATATCAATTGAGTTTGAAGTATTATTAGTTTGAAAAAATGCTCACTGAAGCAATTAAATATTCTCTCTCCTTCTAACAAACTGAAACTCATATCAACATCCTGATGACACACTAAGATGTAAAGGATTACTAATCTGTCTATCAAGTGAAGTTGATCATAAGTAAAACAGGAATCTATGGAGATAATCCTAAGTGTTCAGTGATTCTCTAGATGATACACACCAATCGAATTTCGTTATTTAATTATAACATGGACTCTATTGAATATATTTAAAATAGACGAAAACTAGTAGTCAAACTATTCAAAAACGTATCTTGAAAAAAATGGCCAATACCTAAATGAATGCCTTTCAGCTTATTTTTAATTATTATTTCACAGGTCTTACTTATTTTTCTATAAGTTCATTTTACATTAGAAAGGACCTGAAACCTTAAAATTAGGTTAAAGTAAATTAACATCTAAGTAAATGCAATGATATGGAACAGGGTCATTATGATAGAAACATATTTAGCTTTTAGAACTTGATTACTTGGGATAAAATAAACTTTTGAATATCACTCATTCTATTTACGGTTAAATTATTTATCACTATGTTATACTAATATTGTTGGATTAGTTTTGGTTTTTTGAACAGGGCAAGTTTAAATAAACATGATTGAAATTATGGCGTACTGGATGTTAAGAAATTTCACACCTGAAATTGTGCTTTAAATCCAGGCTCATCCCAACAAGGAAATACACGTCTAGCATCAGTTGGTTGAAGTTGACTAGTTGCAAGATATCTGTAGAAAAAAAAAAACAGAAATTGAATTTATATATAAATAAGAAAGAATTGAATTAGATGATTGTCAATCGTAAATAAATAAGTAGAAAAATGAATATCGGTTCATTTAGTCATAAGTCATATTCTTACAGAATGAAAGAATCATGAATAAGAAAAACAATAGAGTGTAATAAATCTAAAATGAATTTTTAATTTACTTTCCACTTTCTGATTTAACTTTGTAAGGAAAGATTTTCATATATTGTACACTGATACTATTTTTAATGGATAGGGTGTTAAGTGAAACTAATGAGGTTCGTTACAGTAAGTGATATACTTCATAAACATGTATGAACCAGTTGCAAAGTGGATTTATGACATTTTTTTCGACGAAATGTAGTAAATTATTTATTATAGTTTTACTTAAGCTTAAAAACATTAATAGAATATTGTTTACTTTCATTATCTTGTACATATTGGATATCAACTAGTGATGTTTGTTATTTGTATTACTAATTGTAGGTTGTATTTTTAACAGTTCAACGTTGTGGAACGCGAATCAGTACCGTTATTGTTAACACCGTGATGTTGTCTAGTTCTTTTATGTACATATCACACCATTAATGATACCAACATTACTAACTATTCAAAATGTGGTTAAATGACTATGTAGTATCATTCTTTAATGTTATATCTAGATGCATAGATTCTTAATGTGCCGCGTATAACTTGAGCACTCGAACGCTAGAACTCTCCCAAGTCGCAAATGAGAAGACAGAAGATAAATGAAAGGGATGTTATTCCAAACAGTGTCAATTATGGTACAAAACTGTCAGGTATTTATAGTTTTTAATAAAAACGAAATCATCATTATAGTCATCCAATCCCCACACACAGGGGGTTTTAGCATTTGTCCAATAGGAAAGGTGCAGGTAGGGATTCTGGAATATTCTTCCAAAAGATGATTGTATAGGATATATTCGGCTCTTTCTGAGCTTCTTAGAGCTTCCTCGAGTTCACCCGTGGACCGTTTTCACATTTAATAATATAAACTGCTTTAGAGTAATGAATACAAATAAATGCGATAATTAGGGGAATCGCATGTTCTCTAAGTCTTTCACTAACTATCACATACTAAATTAACTTTCATCAAGTCACAGCATTTTATTACGCACAAACATAGTGATCATATATAGAGTATGATACACTAATTAATTAAAATTTTGAGAATTAAAGATGAAAAAGGGACGTTATACAGTACGATAGACAATTGATCCTCTTTAGGGTAATTTTGCCAGTCAATTACTGTTAAAAGGGACGGTTCATTTGTTATTACAACAATGACAGACATATATTTCTGATATGCTTTCGCCATTTATACATAACATGTATTCTTTTAAATAATATATCAACTGATTCTAATCAGTAGAGAAAACCCCTTGTGAATCGGAGTTAATCTTTAAAAAACCTGTTAACCATAACAAAAACATATATGTTTTACAAAGCCTTCATTTCAAAATCGTTCAATGGCCTATGAGACTTCTAGAAAACATCATAAATCTCATGAATTTCAATAAAACACGTCATTACTATCAGCAAACTACAACAATGTTGCACTGTGCTAAAAAGCTGAAAGTAATGGGTTTGCTACAAAAATCGATTTAAAGTAATCAGTCACAAAAACGCATGTATAAGAATTCGGCAAAAATTATCGCTTTCCATATAGTGGTCCGTTTTCTCTTTATAAATATATTTTTCTAACGAAATGAAACGTTGATACTACTTGTATAAAACAAATGAACTGAAACTAATCTGTTATTATTTTTGATTAAAACTTACTTATATGTTCCATTTTCTATATACTTGCTCAAATACCAACCTTTCAATTCATCGTTTAAAGCTGAACGAAATTGTCCAAAGGTTAATTCATAATAAGTAAAAGGTTGAAGTGAATGTACCAGTTCTATTCTATACCATTCTAAGTCTTCTTCATAAGAAATATTTTTAAGATCAATGTTACCATGTGTATTACCATCATCACTTAGAATAGATATCTAAATAATAAAATAATATTTTTAAAGAAATGTTTACATATCTTAAGTATTTACATGAATTACTTTCAAACTATTTTATATAAACATTTATTATGATACATGTACATCGTTGTAACTTGTCAGTTGTTGATTAGTTCTTTTCCAATTACAACTTGAAGAAGTTTAAAAAATTAGTAACTTTAGAATTGTGTTTTATTCAAACGAAGTGTTAGGTATTCGTTAGTTACTAAGAAGACTTCAATTATGGTTTTTCGTATTGTTCACATTGGATCTAATACATATAATGACAGAAGTGAAACCAAGACTATAAGTACTTTTCTTTAGATCAATACATAGAATGATCTTTGATCTTATTCATTTCTGTGAATCATAAAAATATCTTTATAAAGGTAATGAGGTACAAACTAATCAATGAAATGCAATCAGTTCGTTTATATATTCACTGTAATTAATTACTATTCCAGTATAGAAATGTGGTCACAGATTATCTTTGATCATTATTAAAAACGTATTTAGTTTATAAATAATTAAAAAAAAGTCTTGTTGAATTTAAAACAGAACATACAGAAAAATCTTTGATCATAGAATTAGTTGAATAATCATTCATTTTGACTAAACAATAAATCTAAATAGAATACTTACCTATCAATAAACAAATCATTATTTCATTAAAACAAACAATTACATTGATGTAATAATTTAATTACACTATTTAGTTATAAAATAATGTTAATTAAATGTTTTACAATACACAAAATTACTAACAGCATAGCAACTATTTGAAATGAAAAATTTATAATTTTCATCAAATGAAAAACTCTCCTTATTCATAACCATATGGAATTGTTGCAGTATATTATGTTGTGCTTTTTATTGTTGTCGTTCTTCTTCTTCTTTCTCTTCTTCTTCAACATTGAATCATTGTAACATTCATGGGTAAAATAAAATCTATTAAAATTTATTAAACATTGGCGACATCCAAATTTCCATCAGGCATATATGTTAAAACAACAATTGATTCCCATTTAAATACAGATATATATATATATATATATATATATATATATATATATATAGGTACACATAACTGTTTCTTTCCCAATACATTTTTTAAAAACAAAAAAATGTAACTCAATACAACAGATGTTTAAATGTAGTCAGAAAAAAGAAAGAAAAACAATGAAAAATTTTTCATCTATAAATCAATACAAGTACATGTTTTTTCTTGTACCTTTGCATAGAGTTATATTGATGTTTGTGATTTAATGTTTAGCTCTTACATTAGACCTTTTCAAAGTTATAACTAAGTAAAGAACAATAACAACAAGTATTACATTTTTAATTGAGATCATGGACCGATTGACGTTAGACTACCATTGAAAACCTGGAAGTACTGGACAGCCGTTTCGTCCTATTGTGAGACTCCTCAGCAGTACGCATCCACGATCTCGCTCAAGGAATTCGAGCCCAGGGCCTTCAATATCGCACACGAGATTGGAACACTGAGTTGGCAACCAATAGTGTTAATGTCTAACCTCAATCAATCCACGAAATTACACGACCATCTCCCAGTAGGTTAAGCGTTTGTGAGCGAGACCGAAAGTCCTGGGTTGGAATCCCACCAGCGGAATTGTGGATGTGCACTACTGAGGAGTCCCACATTAGGAAGAAACGGCCGTTCAGTGCTTCCAAGTTTTCAATGGTGTTCTAACATCAATCGGTTCATGATCTCAATTAAAAACTAAATAATCTCCACAACTACTATCCTGATAACAAAAATTACAATTTACATTCTATTTCATTGAAATATTTCCGTTTTGTTAAATAAACACATGTAACATTTTATAGTTTTAACTAAGTAAAAATCGATATACCGTACAGTTTCTACAACTTGATGTTTGTGTACCATCAACAGATTAGTATAATGTATTATACGAATAAATATATAATTCAAGAGAATAATGAGATTCATAAGAGTAGTAAGCTTTCAAATGACAGTTTAAACATAATTGTTTTCTTTTTATCTGATCATAAATATTGTAGATGAAAATATGAAAAGAGTTTTGAAGTATTATTTACGAAATTATATAACGGTGATTCTATCGATTTGTCAATATGTGATGTAATAAGGATGTCACTAATGTTCAAAATAGTGACAGAATTTAACAATAACATGCTGGTGAAGTATACATATTTTCCCAGATTGTTAAATAGTAATACTATTATGTTATAAATTTATATTCATTGAGTTGATTTTTTCTTTAAGATTAAATATATATCATTTCTGATGTTTTGTCAGTAGTATTTTTTATAACTTGTGACTTGAGTGCCCTGCTAATGTATAACGTAGTGATAGCGCCAATTAGAGAACAGTGGATTATAGATCGGACCAATGACGCGTAAAACCGTACGAGCAGTCTAGAGTCTTTATCGGTCCTGCTTACCGCCTAGCCCAGCCAATCTTAGCCTCTGCGATATGGATCGTTTAATTCAAGCATACTGGGCTTATATACCAACCAGACAGACCACATAATACCACAAAATAAGAAACAACATTTATACAAGGTAGCAATTAATAGATAGGGCATAATTCAAGAATGGTAAATCGTATAATAATAGTTCATAGGTCAAAATAAAGCTCATAATAAGAGGGACATGAATATGAATAGTTTAGTTATTTAACAATCGTACGATAAAAATATACGCATAGTGCTGGTCTATAAATGGATCCCGAAAGTTACCATTGATTGTGCTTATCGGAGCATAACAATATTGTAGTGAATGAGAGCACTAATGAGGGACAACCAAATATATTTGGACTTAAAATTACAGAATCTCTTACTAAAATCTGAGGACCATACAGTAAATATTTTATTTACAAAATGTAAATCAATTTTTTCAAACTTGATTGTTTTTTCGTTTCCACACCAATCATTCTCTGTTCTCGTCCTCTTTTCTTCGATCGTCTTAACCTTCTGCCACCAGGTATTTCATTTTCGATTGATGATATATATTACTTATATTTATCGACCTCAGTAGTATACATCATAGTATAACAATTTCATTAGTAATGTATTCCAATTCATTTGAATTGTAATTACTTATGAACTTTTATAAAAATTTAGTAATATAAATAAATAAGACAGATTCATTCTGGATTATTATTTTTAAATTGTTAAATACTTAAATAAATTAATTTAAAATTTATATATAAATTAATAATGAAATGTATAACTTACACTGATTTTATCTAAACTAATATTTAAACGACTATGAGCATGTACAAAGAAGTGTTTGGTAGATATTGAACAATAAATCTTGATAGTAACAGATCCATTAAAAAAGAATGTTTCTGGTTTGCCTTGATGTAAATGTACTTGAAGTTTTAAATCATAGAAACTTGGAATTACTGTATATGGTAATCGTACATCTTTCATTGATCGATTTGACAATGATTCAAGTGCTCGTTGTAGTAGATCATCTGTTACATTTTCTAAATAAATCCAAAAAAAAAACTTTTGTAATGTCTTAACTTAATGAAAGTTAACAATCATTACAAAGTGTAGTATTAACGAATCTTAAGTAAGACATTTAACTATCTCTTTCTATCATGTATAATACCGAATCAACGTTTAATAGTTTACAGTTTAAGATTTCTCTAGGCTAAGAACTTATTATTGGGAAAGATTTAATACAACATTGAACATTATTATTCTTTCAAAACTGAATTGATTATTAATTTTCAAATTTAGCTATCACTCTGAAATCATTATCCTACTACAGTTCTTTGAATTTTCAGTAACTATTTAAAGAATTAAAAAGTAGTATAAATCGATTTACATGTATAGACTGTACTTAATGAATGTCCATTTTAAGTCATCCAACTATCAGGTTTCCGATGCTTTTCTTTTCTTCCTATAACATATAATCGGTTAGAATTTTAGTCTCTTTTGGAGTTAACTTCAAATAATATATCTATATATATAATACTCTTCAGCAAATGAAAATGAATGGAATCAGAGGATAAAGCTTGTATTTCAACTAAGATGATTGATAAATTCATTATCTAACTAACAATTACAAAGAAATAATGTTCATAAATGTTTGGATTGTATCAAAATAATCAAATAAAAAAGACCCATCTATACCCACGTTTTTAAAAGTACAAAGGTAAATTTACTACCTATGCAAAATAAAGCAAAACTATTCACCTATCATGTCAGGCCTAATACTCAATTATGAAATTTATTATATTTTATACAAAGCAAAATAATCTATAATCTTTCTGTCTTGTGGTTATATTTTATTTCCAATTTCTTAAATACAGTTCCATATTTTATTCTACTATGATGGTAATTTTATTAAATATGTGTCTACTAAGTCTTTTAATCACCAGCTGAGTGTCATCAGTTCCAAAACAGTTTAAAGTATAAAATATTTGAAGAAAAAAACAAATACTTTTTACTCTTTTAATTATTCCTAAGAATAATAAGGTCTAACACCAAACAAGTCCATCTTTACAACCTTGATCAGATTGGTTTGAATTATTTTTTTCTGGTTAGCTTTTTTCTAGCGAGTTAGTTTTCTACGGGATGAGGCTGCTAACCTTATGCACAACCCTCCTCATTTATCCAGACTTGGGACCGGCAGAGGGACTTCAAGTGGAGTATAAAAAATGAGTGCACCTTAATAATTTTTAATAAAGTCAAATAATTGTCAATGTTTCTATTGTTAAATAAACTTACTATACGTAAAATAATATATTGTTTATTTTCATGTTATCAAGTACATTAAAAAGAAACTATATTTAGTGTTCAATCATTTGAAATTATCAATCAGACCTTCGTTATGATACAGATGAAGATAATACATCTAGTTAGCTTTATGCACCCAATCTAAAATGAGTGAACTATTTTAGTTTAGTCATATACTGTATTGTTGTTGCTTATTTTCAGAATTCTATTATATTAGGAAGAATTTTCATTATAATTTTGTGAATCGTTACAATGATTGACTGTTATTATTTACTAATATCGGTTAAATACAATCTAACCTGAAATAAACATCAATCATGTGGTTTTAAGTTTTGTTTTTCATTTTACCAATTCTCTGATTCTTGTATGCAACTTGCCCACTTATTAATGTTGTTACTGAGGTCAAGGCAGAAAGTAACTATATTTATATTTGTCAAACATATAAACAAACACATTGAGAGAGAAGCAAACATTAACTAGAAAAACAGAGAAACACCATAAGTTTATTGATATTTGTTTTGACAAACGATGTTACTTGTTATAGACTAAAATCATACAATGTAAAACAAATTTAGGCAATTTAAAATAAACCTATCATAAGCTGCAGTAGTTTTAGCCACAACGCTCAATAACTTTTTTCTTGATTGTGGTTCATACACGCATATTGACAAGTGAAATTCTCATTTAAATATTGTGAATAACATATCGAAGTTATGTCGATCTCTAATCTGGACGAATCAATTGTAAAGTTTTCATTGTCCTTTTGAACATCATCAGAGAAACTCAAACAGCATCATCATGAGCTATAAATATTCTTTACCATCTTAAAATGACAGATTTTCACAAATCAAGTTAACTTGGTTCTACTAGTATTAAAATATCTTTAAATAATGAGTCCTTTGTAAGAAGCCATACCTTAAAATATATTGAGTCAGTGGTCTCTCAAGAGTCTTATACACTTTAGCTTAAAGAGGTATTTCCAAGAGTTCTACTAAGAAGCAGTGACCAGTGGAGTTCAATCAGATCTGTTGTGAGATATCAACTTACTGAAGACAATAGTGAATATATCGCTCAATTTCGTGGACTAGTTGAAGTTAGACATTAACACCGTTGGATGCTGGTTCAATGGTCTAGAGATTAAGTGTTCATGCGCAACACCAGTAAGTCCTAGGTTCGAATCTCGCGAGGTGGGATCGTGGCTGAGCATTGCTGAGGAGTCCTATGCTAGGACGAAATGACCTTGGATTGCTTCCACGTTTTCCATAGTGCTCTAGTTTCAATGAACTCATGAATTTAACAATTAAATTTTCTTTTTAAATTTAATAAAATTATTTCGAATTTACAACTTTATTTATCTATCAAGGTCATGTAAATTATAACTAATTTGTATGCATAATTAAACCTTTAATTAAATTTTATAAATCGAAAAACAAAAAAAAACTCTTTTTTTAATTATAGTTAATGAATAAGAAAAAAAAGGACAAAATAATAGAAAGTTCACAGGTTAATCAACAAAATCAAGATAATAACATAGTTTATTTAAACCAATTGACAATTAGTTTAACATTGGTTACTAATTTATTTTTATTTTTTTTTGTGTGGATATTTGAGGTCAAGTGATTTTGAGTAAACCAAGAGAAAAAAAACAAAAAAAAATATACAAATTGAAATGGAGATAAACCTGTATAATTAAAGTTTCGAAGAAAAGAAAAATTAATTCTTCAGGCAAAAAATAAATTAAGTTGAAAAGATACAAAATTGTGACAATTTTTTTAAAATAACCAAAAAAATATATAAAAATAGAGAAAATACCATCTTTTACCGTAATTATTTTTAATTATTATGTGTTATTATCAGGCAGTTTTTGTGGAGATTTTAGTAATGTAAATAGTTGAAATCATGATTCAGTTGAAGCTAGATTACCATGAAAAACATGGAAACAGTCCAAGGACGTTTTGTCCTGGTGTGGGACTCCTCAGCAGTGCGCAGCCACGATCCCACCCCGTGAGATTCGAACCCAGGACATATCGGTCTCGCGCGCGATCATTTAATCTCTAGACCATTGAGTCAGCATCCAGCAGTGTTAATGTTTAACTTTAACTAATTCACGAAATTGAGCGACCCATTCACTATTGTCTTCAGTGAGTTAGTATCTCACAACAGATCTTGTTGAACTCCACTGATCAGTGTTTCTTACTAGAACTCTTGGAAATACCACTTGAATTCAGTCACTAGTGAGCATATGTTGTTTATTATCAGAAGGGGTTATTAGTTTTAATTATCTTAAAGAAAATTATTATAAGAAAGAAGGTTTTGTGGAGATTTTAGTAAGTTCAATAATTGGATTCATGAGTTGATTAAAGCTAGACGACTATGGAAAATTTGGAAACATTGGATGGCTGTTTTGTTTTTCTACGGGACACCTCGAAAGTGTACATAAACGACCTTACATGTGGGATTTGAACCCAAGACTTTCGATCTTACACGTGAACTTCTAAACTTTGGATTAATACTTCTAGGTTTTCCAGTAGTGTTTCAGCTTATATCAATTCACGAATTCAACTATTAAAATTTTCTATAATTGTTTTCAGTTGAAAAGATCTTACAAAATGAATGTGAACAGATTAAGTTCACATATATTCTCTCTTATTTTTTAACACATATAGAAATGAATAATGATTTGAAAACCTAAACCAACTCATTGTACATAGTATCTCCGTTTAAATGACAATTTTATCCGAGTAATGTCTAAATATGTTTCAGTAACAATCTAACATGAAAATGTAGAGTGAAAGTTTTGAATAAGCTTGATACTTTAAATAAAACTAATCATATACTTCGTTAATAGAGAACTACCAATGAAGTTTTCCTTTTTAATTTACGCAATACTAAATTGATTTCTGCACTGTTACATATATATGAAAATGAGTCAATGCATCATAAGCTCTGATTATTTTATTTTACAACCAGCTAGAATTTGCCAAGTTTTGATGTTTGTAAAGCAACAATATTATTTTTTACTTGAAGTAACTAGGTAACAGATTGACAACATAAAATTATAGCAAGTATTTAACTGCCCTTGCGTTTCTCATGAATACTTTCATGATTTCTGGTTTAGACAATGACATCTTACGTTTCTGAGAATAACGCAAGATATTTGAAACCGTCGCAATGTTATGATCACTTTATTTAATCATACTAACTCACAACCTATCCGACCAAAAGTATATAATCAAAAACACAATGCCTAAGCGAAATACTTATCTAAAATTGAAATTATTGACACATAGTTAAAGTAATCTTATTTAAAGGATCAACCTCTTTATAGAAATAGATTAATTCCTTGAAAATTCTTGGACCACGTTGCCAGGCGAAACGTTGGATTTACTTCAAATTCATTCGCTAAGATTTTACAAATACATTCTTTCTCTTTAATGTCTCAGAGATTAATAAGGTTTCTTTAAACCTTTAGTTTGTAGGCGTGAGTACCTTATGAGCAGACTGTTGAACTAGCTAAAATATTCACTATTCAAGGATAGAAATGAACCCAAGATTTAAAATGATGTAACAGTTCTTCATCTTAATTGTAAATATGTAATGCAAACGACAGATACAAGATACTACATTTTGCCTACATCAACCTTTAAATGAATCCAATATTAAATGTTTTATGAAGTAAATTATCAAAATTTCATTTCTTAACCTCATAGAATTGTAACAAGGAACATTTAAATTTGGATGGAAAATAAAGTTTCTACTGCGATCTTCAGACTCCTTGCAAAATATTGTTCGACTATTAATTTAATAGATGTTAATTGTGTTGAAAAACTGTTACTCTTGTTTCAAATAATTGACACCAGTACTATTTCCGTAAACATTATATTTCACTTGTCGTTTTCAAAAGCTGAAATATGTTAAGTTACTAAACTGATAAAGAACTTGTCATCAGTACGATATATTGCTTTGGAAACTCCGTAACCTAAAATTCTATCAATAATAGAAAAGTTAATAATTCTGTTTCTAACTATGCTGTATATTGCCAGAATAAAACATCGCATGATGTTGTGATTTCTAACAGTTAACCCAGTTTGTAGAAATATATGAGTAATTAATTTCTCTAATCCATATATCACCAAGGCTATAATTTGCGGACAAATCAATCAGGTATAAGATAATGGATCTCGGATTTTAACGCGAAAGCCTTTTATCCATTTGACTAAATAAATTTCTGGAATTATAGCTGATGTCAGCTCGTGATGAAAACCCCCATATATAATTCCTAACTAGGGCAAATTACGAAAATTGTTGAGAACTGGATAATAAAAGCACCAGTAACACTGGCTGCAGCCAGGTATTACAATATATACGGATGTTTGGAGAGCGTACAGACTCCTACATATGCTTGGTTATGTCCATCGTGTCGTTATCCACAAGTAGCATTTTGTTCACTCAACAACCGGAGTGCACAGAAATAATATTGAAGCTATGTGGTCGAGGCTGAAAGAGCTTTTGAGACTTTATCATGGCTCCAGAGGCCGACTATTCTGTAGCCGTATGGATGATTTCATCTACTGCATGCATTACGATTTTAGAACCTCTGAACCTATTTCTAACTTTGACAAGTTTTTGAACCACGTATAAGAAGTGTATCCACTTTATTTCCTTGGTTCTGTATAACATCTTTTTACTCTATGCAGACAGTTTTCTGATTGGCTAATATTTCTCAAGGTCACTTAGGATTCGTCCAAAGGCCGTCCATAAATTAAAGTCTCGTCGAAAAACTAAACATTTCATAAACATCAAATGTATAAGCAATAAAAGTGGAACATGAAATCAGCTGTTTGTTTAGGCTTATTCAATTTTATTACAATTTCTTTTTATGGTAATCATTCATACAGTTTGCAAGTAATTACACCCACTTTTAAATTATAATATATTTTAATAGATCACTAATAATACACTTATTTCTTATTCTTTACCTGAGTAATAGAATTGATAAACTAAACACTAAAGAGTTTATTTTTGTAAGACTCAATTGAAGTTTATTTTGAGATGAGAAATTAAGTAACATAGTGGATTAGAAATAAACTTTATAATAAACTCATTTGAATTCACTTTCCATGTAAACTCTGAAAACAGAAAACTACATTTTAGTACTGAAAACATGATAAACGACCGTACCTGTCTAGTTCACTATGAAATTCACAATGATTCGAATCAATAAATGATTTGTATTATTCGATCTTGGATAAGACTGTACAACTAATTATTTCTTGTTTTATAACTTTCATCAACTTACATAGTCGGGTAAATTCATTTTAATGGTAAACTAGCAAATGTTCTAAGATTTAACGAAATAAAAAGGATTAGGTTGACAAGAATATACTTGATAATACATATATATACGACAAACAATGTCGTAGTAAAAAGAGTTCTGTTTTACAGTCCTCCTAAATGTGATTTATTAAATCTTATCAACAATTTGAGAAATAGTTCAGAAATGGTAAAAAAACTGCTTTGCTTACCTGAAGTACAAATTTCATCAAGCTCATTACATTTTAAATGATTGATCTCAGCATCTAAACAAAACAAAGAGTAAAATAAATTGGAATATGATGTAGACTATAAATCAATATAAAACGTTTGATTTACCTTCTTCAAAACAAAATAATTATGTAAGTTGTTGAAATGGAAGCGCATAGAGTTTCAAACACACACCATGAAATTGATATATCACTCAGGGTAGTAAGTTTATTCAATTGGTCTATATTTTAAAGTTGAAACTAGAAGGACCTTTCATTGTATAAAATATGAATAGAACTATTTATAATATTTCTTTATAAAAACAAGATGGATGGTGGCTAGCAATGCAAATTAGAACACGCATTTCGTCCTATCTGGGACTCGTCAGCTAGATTTACATGCATCCCAGAGTTGATGTTTACTCCAGGACTCAAACCCAGTACCGTTTGCTTCAAACGCTATTGCATTATCTGCTGAGCTACTGAGTCTTGAAAGCCACTTGTATGTGCAATGGGGTAACGTTTCCTTTTGTTTTTTTCAGAAAATAATAAGTGGAGAATTTCACATTGAACAGTGAAACAAATCTCGAAATGATTCAACAGCTGATCTTAGATAAGTATGAACATTAACTTCAAAAAACTAAATGACTTCCTTCCATTACAGACTTTAGTAAATTTCATTTTCACCCTAGAGACTAACTCCGAGAGAATGTCCTGAAATTTCAGTGAGTAGCCAGTAATAGTTACGAAAATGTATTTAGTAGAAGTGACAGATGTCAGTGGCGATATCTTATAATGATCGCACAATATCACAGATAGGCTGAACTGAGAAAGGTCGATAAATGGATTTTTACTTGATAGTTCAAATGTATCATCCTAAAAAAGATGAAAATCTAACAGTTCTGTGTTTGGTCTCTTGTAAAGTATTTGATGAACAATACCAAGAAGTTTTGCACAAGAACAAAATAGTTTTCTAGTGTTTCTTGGTTTGTTATCGCTTTCTAGATAATGCTTCTCTTGAAAAACGGTCATACAAGCAGTAAACATTATTACATTTAACGACGTTTTGTACATAATTGATAATGTTTGCTAATCACCATTAGATTATTCTGCCTTTCTTGTGTTTTTTTTAATTTCTCCACAAAAAATGTATCAACTAAAATAATACATTTTGTGTATCTATGATAATCATGAATAATTCCCAGACATCATAAATCTTTAGAAATTCGTTTAGCAAACATTTTTCGATAAAATCAATATATTTTTTGTTGAAAAATTAAACTTAACCTATAACAACTAGATAAATAATTCAATTACGAAAGTTTTCCTATATTCCATTAACCTTCCTGACAACTTTGTACTATTCTTATTCAGATCACTTAGTTGGAATTTTGATATTTTTCTGATTTATTTTTTTAAGACTAAAGCTTACTTAACAAAATCTATTTACTTTAAGCAAACAATTATTATTTACTGTTCTTTATTTATGATTCTCTTTCATCAGTATTTGAATGTATTATAATGAGTTAGTTTTTTTCCTTATACAAGTAGAATCAGAGTTTTTGAAATTACGAGTCAATTAAAAGTAGATCAGCGTTGAAAATCTGGAAGCACTGGACGGCCGTTCCGTCCTAGTATAGAATTCCTCAGCAATGCGCATCCACGGTCTAACTTGTATACGACCGTGAGACCTATAGGTCCTAGGTTTAAATCTAACGAGCAGCAGTCCCTTACTAGGACGAAACGGCCGTCCAATGCTTCCAGGTTTTCCATGGTGATCTTGTTTTAAGTGACTCATGATTTCGATTATTAAATTATTAAAATCTCCAAAAAACTACTTTTGATAAGAATCAGATTTGATAAAAGACTAAATTAGAAAAAAGTCATCTACTTGAATATTTAATAAGAATTTTTTATTAAGTAAATTTCGTATCATTGATGAACAGGGTAGATCTGATGAAGATATGAAGGCGCGGATCGGCAAAGCAAGAGCAGCATATCTACAACTGAAGAACAACTGGGACTCAAAACAACTGTCAACCAACAACAAATTCAGAATTCTCAATACAGATGTCAAAACAGTTCTCCTGTTTAGGGCGGAAATCTGAAGAACTAACACAACCATCATACAGAAGATACAAGTGTTTATTAACAGTTGTCTACGCAAAATACTTTGGATCCGTTGGCCAGACACTATCAGCAACAACCTAGTATGGGAGAGGATTGACGATATGTATATTTCAATAGCAACCATTCGTACAATCCAAACACTGTTAACACCATCTTTTAATGCTTTATAAATCTTCTTTAAATTATTAATTATTATTACATTGTCAATTAATTCCTCAGCTTTTTCATACTCATCAAATGAATAATCATTGTTCATATATGTGACTTCATTTTACACAGTATTTAACTTCACGTTCATCACACAAATCTCTTTAGATGAGTGGAGTTTTCAAACATTTTGTTATGTAATACACCTTCCTTTTTTATTAGACTACATTATTTGTTAAATTACTGTAAATGTAATTGTTTAACTTGTTTTATCTTTAAATCTTCTTTAATTAGATAATAAGTTTCTTTCATTAATTAAATATGAATATATATTTTTTAACATAAAAATTATTAGTAGACAATAAATTCAATATTGTTGCTATGGTTTTAAAATAGATCTAGAATAAGACTGTCCAGGTCAAAACAATAAACCCAAAAATATTGTTAATCAGTGAAGCAATTTAGTTTCAGTAAAAATAAAACCCGAATTTGTGTACCTTAGAATAAATCAACAACTGAATGTTTCAAATGTCAAACAACATAAGATAGTTATATTGTTTCGGTATTCAATGAACATCTCTTTCAATGAAATAACTGTATGAACAGTTGAAAATGTCTATCCTATATTATTTATTTATACATTACAGTCATAAAGTAAACGTACCATTCTGCTAGGATACTCCTTTATTCTTTAATAATGTTTTTTTTTCTCTGTCACTATTACATATCGATTTCATCAGCTGCCTTAAAAGGGACTTCTTAAATTCAAGACAAAACTACACACTGATACAATCTAAATGTCACAATGTCGAACAAACGTTTAAAAAAAAACAATCAATTGTTTGTTAGTGGTAGTTTGTAAAAGATATATCACTACATTTTGGGGTATTGTCTTTTTCATAAAGTAATGACCATTCGAATGATTTATAATTAACATGACGTAATAACTACTACTATCAGTTCATAAATAGAAATAATCAAAGTGTTCTACATGTCATCTATAACCAAATTTTATTTTCTTCACTGATATATTGTAGGGTATAAGTAAATATACTAGCAACAAAATATTTTTCATTAAGAAATAACATTTCTAATTCCCATGCACAAATGTAAAATACATTTGACAATTATACTTTTAATGCGTCATCATATTATGTAAATGATAAATGTCAAAATGACAATAATTTAGATCACCAATAGATAGGACGATACATATACATAGTGTAATAAACTGATGAATGACTTATAAGATTCATAGTTCATAATCATTTAGGTTCTGAATTATTCTTAATTATGTTCAGTTTGTATTAAATGTTTTGTATAAAATCTCAATTTCTTACACAAAATGACTCTTTTTCAAGTTTGTACTTATCTTTACTTAGTAACTATAAGTCAATAAATTGGATTTGTTTTATTCCGATGAGAATAATGAATGGTAGTTTTTGGGATCCACTTATGGACCAATATTATGAGTATATTTTTATCGTATAATTGCTATGTAACTAAACTGTTCTTATTCATGCCCCTCTTATTATGAGCTTTATTTTGACCTATGAACTATTATTATACGATATACCATTCATGAACTATTCTCTGTCTGTTAATCGCTACCTCCCTCATTCACAGCCACATCTGGCTAATTCTTGTACAAATGTTGTTTCATGTTTTATTGGTACGTTGTGGTCGGTTTGATTGATATATAAACTCAGTATGCTTGAAATATAATGATTCATATCACAGAGACTGAGACTTGCGTTCTGAACTCAACTGGCTGGACTAGACAGGGAAGCGGGACCAATCAGAACTCTAGGCCATTCTTACGTGTTTACTCGTCTTTGGTCCGATCGATAATTCGCTGCCGTCTAATCAGCAGTCCACAGGATTACTCAGTAACTATTCCTCACCCACACTATTTAGATGGTCGTACATATTTTTTTAAGAAACTCACAATAGAAATGGAAAGTCGTTGAAATTACTAACAGATTTGTTTATCATTTAATTGTTTTACCCGAGTTACTTTTCGTTAGATATATTCTTTTGATTCTAGTTATTTTTTATGTTTTTATCTGTATAGCTGAAAATTGAATGAAATGTTTAAATGAACGCAACCTAATTCATTTACAAAATGCATTAATGTTTTTGCTGAACTACTGATAAATATGTTAGTAAATCTCTACATTTAATTACTTATAGATTAAGTATTTAATGAGTAATAACTAATCTCATGTTTATCTAGTCTTCAGTGTTAATTGGATTCTATCGATCATGTTGCAATATGGTTACTAGAATGCATTATATGTTAATGTTAGGTGGTTGACAGTTGTTAGAAGGAAACACTATACCTATGTTTTGAGTTAGTTGGTAAACGTTATTAGTTACATTTTAACATGACTGACAGAATCCGATTAACAATCAGAACTAGATAAACATGACTTTGGTTATTGCTTAGTAACCAATCAGTATCAATATATCATTATTACAAAAGGTCAAAAGCTTCCTTGGATAGCTTATTTGTGAATTCCGGAACTGTAAAACTGAGCGGCGTGGATTCAAATCATATGGAAGACACGCTTTCACTCAAGTTTACAGCGACGCCTTGATAATAAGTTCCAGATGACATTTAATCTATGTCCATCCGAATGCCACTAACTATACAAAACAGAAAATGTGTTTCTATGGTATGCTTAGCAGATGGTTAATTTACAGCCATTTGAAACAGTAGTATTAATCAAGTGATAAAATTTTACAAATTATGAATCTCAAGAAGGCTTTCCCTCACA